CCCTGTACTCCACTCCCACCTCAGGGACATACCTCCACTTTCAGATTCACGCTCCTCTTTACTGATTTTCTCCAGCAAATTTGAGCACATTTTGTTCAGACTTTGGATCTGTTTCTGCAAAATGAAAACTGTCAGAAACTGCCAGGATACCTCCAACTCTGCACAAATCAGCAAGATAAATGAACAAGCTTTCCCTTCCCAGGATCTGTGTAACCAAATGTAAGTGTTTTGGTAGCTGAGCGTAGAGTGCCCAGTGCTAAGGCATGCAGAAGGGCACTGTGGGAATGTGATAGCCTTCTCCTCTGACTGGTTGGATGGCACCTCCTGAGAACAGCCAGAGAGCTGGATACCCTTGTGAAACTGTGGAGGAAACCAAACCTCAGCTAGGGTCAGCTGGAGAAATCTCAGACAGGAAAGGACACAGAAGAAAAAGAAAACTGTCAAATGGAAGGGTAGAGGAAGCAGTTAAAGGCCAACTTGTGCTCTAGGGATAAAAGGCAGAAGAATCAAACTCTTCTTTACCTACCTGCGCTGCATCAGGGCTAATTCGAGCTGCATCTGTGATCAGCTGCTTCTCCTGCTCCTCCACTTCAGGGTCGGGCTTAGTTCGAAGATGGTCGGGCACCACTTCATGGCTGAACACCGGGACACGCCCCTCTGTCTGCCGCTGCAACAGTGGGACAGGCCTCACTCAGAGCCTCTTCCTCCAGCCCAGCACTCAGGCAGCTCCAGACCAGGGCACAGGCCATGGTGCTGAACAAAGCTACAGGGGAAACCTCGATCTGGGGACCACTAGGAAGTTTCAACAACTTGCTTAGGAATTTGCACTGTGCCTGTTTAGTAACAGCAACATATTTATTAACAGGAACACCTTCTGTAAAGTGTATCCAGTGCAAGTGTTTGCAGGTGACAACCCCACAGCAAAGCAGCCCTCAGACAGCAGTACTTGTTGCCCTTTCTTCCTTGACGCCCAGAACTGAGGAACGCCCAGCTGAATATCAGGCACTCAAGCACTCTCTGATACTCAAGGGACATGTCTTACCATGATCTCCTCATCGCGGTCTGGAGACAGCACTAGGGGGATGATCACCTGGTTTCGCAGTAGCGGGGTCTTCTCATGCTTTAGCACTTTATTCAAAGTGTTCAGCTGTCCTGAGAGCAATGCAAAGCTGTCCAGAACTGAAGGCCTGGAAAAGCAAATAAAGATGGAAGATGAAAGGGGATGCCACATAGGGCTTTTTTCTCTTCACTCAAATGACTGAGGAGTGAGGAAACAACACTGTTAATCCTCAAATCAGTCTACTCCATACAGTAAGCAGTAAAACCTAGGGCTGAATATGCAGGTGTGGACAAACCCCAGTCCTTACTGGAAGTGGCTCAAATGCAGCAAATATCTCAGGGACATTACAAGCAGTACCACTGAAAGTGACAGTTGTTTGGGATTTCAGTAACACACACAGAAGCACTTCTTTCCTTGTCACTACCTCTCCCAGTGAAACTCTGGAGCAAGGTCTAAGAAAAAATTTCATCCTAGTACAGCCAGGAGAGAAAATATTTATAGCCTGGCTATCCAGACTAAGAAACAATGAAGCTAAATAACTGATAATCTTTTCAAGGAGGTCCTCTTCAGTTTGGTTTCTGTGCGGGATTCATCAGCTCTCCTGCTTTTTGCAACATTAACTATAAATGTTAACTTGTTTGTGAAGGGCAGACACTAAGATACCATATAGTTTATTAAGCTGCAGCTATCAACATCTTTATGCTCCATATTCTCCAGGAAGAGAATGCCATCTTGCAAGGCTCCCAAACCATGTAGTAAAGCAGAACCAGCAAAACACAAAAGCTCAGCTTATATCAGAGCCATAAAAAGCCAGAAAATGTCAGGAAATACAGAAAGAACCATTCCTCACTTTATAGTATGTGTGGATCTCTAAGGTCTTTCATCTGAGAACTTCTACTCACTGCAGATGCAAGTCTAGTTCCCATAAAATGTCTGGATTAAAAGGCGTTTGCATGACTCTTATTACTCTACAGCATGAAGCCAATGGATTTCAGCTGGTTTTCTTGTGGAAGATGTGTAGTGGTTCCTCCAGCACAAATGTAAAAAGAAAATTTAAACCTATTGACAAGAAGATAATGTTTTTTTAATTAATCCTTTGAGCCAAGTCTGAGAGTTCTGGCAGTGATCAACAGTGAGACACCTTACCATGTGAGTCGGTCATACTCGTTCTCCAGCTTGTAGATAAAACTGACCAAGGAGTTCTTCAGGTCAGCCACCTGACTGATGAGTGCCTCCAGGGTCAGCTCCAGCTGCTTCTCCTCTCTCTAAAAAAAGACAAGACAGACAAGGGAGGAGGACAAAGACGTTGTGAATCCACACCCATGCATCCATGACCCAGCCAGTCCTACAGACAACCTCTTTTTCAGAGGAAGCAGAGGCATTGGAGATAAAATTCCTATTATTTCACACTGACCCCTTTCCCTTGGGTCAGACTACTCAGGCAAGAAATTTGTGTCTGAGACAAACACTTGGCCAGCTGCCCTGTTAAAGATCTAGATGAGTGTAATGAAGACATCATCACTTATATCTGCTTTTTACCCCATCAAGCAAAGTCATCAAAGTTAGCTCACACCACCTTTGTAAGCCACTTAAGCTAACCCAGATCAAAGATGAGCATTCCCTCAGCCTTTTCTGATAGCAGCTGTGGGTGCTGTGATGTCTTCATCCGAATTAGTCTTTGCAAAATGACTGCCAGGATCGTTTGTGCCCTTCACCTCATTCTTTACTTTCTTTCTGCCCACTTTCAGCTGCCAAGGAAACTGGCAGCTCCCACTGGCCTTATGCCCCACAGACTGGGGCTGTACCCACACACACACATCTCACCTCCTGCCTTTTGCTGGGATTACATGGTTTAAGAAATCTTCCCCACTGACATCCTCTTCTGGGTGAGGGAGGATGGTGACAGACAAAGTGTCAGGACTGGGGATGTGTTGCCAAAGACATCAAGGCATATCCTTGACTCTTGCAAAAACCCTCTAAACTGCTATCTACTCTTACTCATACTAAAGTATTACACAAAATATAATTAAAGTCCCAGGCCTAGGGAACTTCTCGTGTAAACTGAGGACTGTACAATAATAATAATATAATAAGCATGAAGAGGGTGGGACAAAACTATCAAATAATAGAAAGGGAATACCGATTGGGAAAGCAGATAGAGTGACTCAGGCTGTTGGCATGCTCGCTATTGGGTTTGTTGTTGCTCTATTCAAATACACTGGCCCAGTGTAAGCTTCATGGAGAGATTATCAGGCACCTTCCATGTTCATGAAAACACAACATTATTCTATTTTATTTGTACTCTGACAAGTTGGTAATCACTGACGGGACTTAATTTCACTTTAACCACCTCAGAATAAACAGCTGAATCAACCTTATTAAAATTTGATCCCCAGTCCACAGAGTGGATTCATGGAACAGACTGCTGCTGCTGTTCCACCTAGAGATAAAAGCACTCTCCTTCATCTTGTGACAGGACTAGTCAGTTCCTGTCCAATTAAGAAATGTGCCCGTAACAGTTTGTGTGCACTGTGTTTGTGCAAGGAGGTTAACTACTGTCTGTGTTACAAGCTGGGCTGGTAGCCAGTGTTTTACTGCAGGGGTGCCAGGCATATGCACCCATGGCAACTCCCCTGGCCCCCTGCCTGTGCTTATCCAAGAGGCCCTCAAGAGGATGAATGAAAGCCCATTGCACAAGGAGCACTCTCACGGCAGCAGTGCACTCCAACCCTCCTTCCCATGGCTCTTCCCAAAGCCATCAGGAGCTGGAAGCAGATGCAAGCAGTGCAATAAGCATACAATAAGACTGATCAGTGATTCCAAGGAATGCTGTGCCACTCCAAGAGGATACTTTGAGGAACTTGTTAATAATGTTAAAATTGGCCCAAGGCAGTAAAGACAGGGCTTATGGTAGGGGTTCTGAAAGACCTCCTGATACTGAGCAACTGAAAGGTAAAGGTCAAATTCAGAGTGGGTAAAGGTACAGCAGTGCAGGTGGTGAAACAAAGGGGGGAAAAATAATCCTGACCGGCAAAACAAAGGGGGAAAAAGATCCATGACTTTCTGTACACAATGACATTATCAGAGCTGATAACATTGTAACTCAACAACAAGATCTCATGATTATCTGAGGGTAACCCATGAAAACATCTGCCCAATGATGGAAAGGCAGTCAAGGAAGTAAAAGTGATCACAGGAGTTATTAGGCAAGCAACAGAAACTAAGCATCATTATGTCACCACATAAATTAATGCCTCCTTTCCATCTCCAATATTACATGTCACTCTTGTCCTCCCAACTGAGAAGGGATAGAGGAGGACTATGTACTAATAAAAGCAACGAGGATGATGAAGAATATTCATAACTAAAAAAAAAAAAACACCAACAAAAAATACCCTAGTAAAAAGACTGGTATGAGTAAGTGGCTAAAACAAGGAGAGACAATGTAACAAATCCTATAAACGAGGAATAGCGGGACAATTCATTTTCACTTTCTTTTCCAGCAAGACAAACAGGAGATCTGTATGAGGCCAGCCGGCTGCGCTTCCAAACAAACCAAAGGAGGTACATCTTTACAGCCTATTAACCTGTCATTAATGCTCTTGGGACAATACGGATGCTACAAGTTCACAGCACTTAATAAAATAGTTAGGTTCTTCTCCCATTAATGACATTTCATCCAAGCGGGACCGGGGCACTCACGCTCACCCCACAGCCATGCAGCAGCCAGGGGCTGCGGCACAGCAGAGCAGAGCAGAGCACCGCACCGGCTGCTCGAGGACGCGCTCGGCCGCCCGCCCCGGCTGGGCTCGGCCCCACGGAGCCGCCCGGCCCCGCTGTCCCCGGCCCTCACCTGCATGGCGGCGATAGCAGCGATGGCGGCGATGGCCCCGCCCCGTTATCCCGGGAGAGCGGCACTTCCGGGGCGGGGCTGCGCGGACATGGCGGCGGCCGAGCGGCCCGACGGGGAGGTGGGACCGGGGCCGGGGGAGCGGGGCCGGGGGAGCCGAGCGGGGCCGCCGAGCGGGGCCGAGCCGGGCCGAGCCGGGCCGGGCCGAGCCGAGCCGGGGCCAGAGGCGGGCGCGGGGGACACGGCCGCCATGGGGAGCAGTGGGGCCGGCAGCGCGGGCCCGGAGCAGCCCGGGGTGAGGGGCGGCGCGGGCACTGTCCGGGGCTGCTCCGGGAGTGACCTGGGCCGCTGTGCTCCCGCCGCAGGTGGAGGAGGCAGGGCACGTATTCCTCCTGATGAAGAAGGACTATCGCATCTCCCGCAACGTGCGGCTCGCCTGGGTCCTCAGTCGCCTGCACCAGGTCATCCGGGCCGTGCCTGAGCCCGAGCTGGTGAGTTGGTGCCCAGGCCTGCATGGGGTCACCCCTGCTGCACCACTCAGCAGCACCTGCACCCTGCAGAGCGTCTGAGCCCCATCCCTTTCTTTGATTCTTCCTTTGGTGTTTCTTGATGTTCTCTCATGTTCTCTCACTTGCTTGTTCTGGCAGGTAAAATCAGAAAATGAGCTTGATGTTCTCAGCATCCTGCCTAATGGGTGGCAGCCAGACGACCCGGTCCAGCCCAGGCCCTACCTCCTTGTCCCCTCTACACGGGTCACCTTCCTGGCCCGTCAGTACCGATTTGTGATTGAGCTTGATCTAAGCCCTTCCACAGGGATTGTGGTAAGAGCAGAAACTGCCTCTCCTTGGGGTGTTCTGCATTAAAACAAACCCATTTCTGTTTGCTGAGTAAAGGTTTATTGCTCTCGGTGTCAATCTGAGCTTTTGCAGAAGTCTTGCTTTTTCCAGGAGGGAGCCATGCTGTGCCCCTAGCTGGGAACTTAATGGCAAATTCTATTTCTCCACTGGATACTTAATGTGTGACTTCTGTTTACAGGAGTTGTCACTTTAATCTAGCTGCCATTGCAGAAGGATGTTCGCTGTTGGCCATGAGCAGTGGAACAACCAACAATGAGATTAAAAGTCCTAGAAGATGAAAAAGCTGTTCCCTTTCTCTGTTTCTGTAGGATGACTCAACGGGGGAGATAATTTTTGATGAAGTGTTTCATGCCCTTTCCCGATGCTTGGTGGGATTGTTAAGACCCTTTCGTATCCCTGGTTCAGACATTATCTACCAGCCAGAAATCTTTGTCACCATCCAGGTGTATTCCTCCATCATTGGCCTGCAGTCCCACCAGGTAAAGTTCAGGCTCTTCCTGGGCACAGTGTGAGCAGCTCGCTGTGCTGCACAGGTGTTCTGTGAGTCCAAGGGAAGGGGGACAGGTGGCAGCTGGGCTCTGCTATCTGTGATGCTGCAGGCTTGTCTCACTAAAACAGGTAGCTTGGCATGATGCAGAAGTGCATGTGAGCAACTTCTCTTTCCTGGGCAGGAAGCAGAGGTTTCTCTGGAGAATGCTGTCCTCGGGCATGATCTTAGAATTGGGCCACAGGGAATATTTTCCTCATGTTGAATGTGTGCTTCTTGTCGTTCTTCTTCTTTTGTTGTTTGGGGATTGTTTTTGTTTTTAATTTCTGTTGATTAATTCTTTTTGCCTGTTTTAATTAGCTGGAAGCATTCAAGAAGAGCTTGTATGACCAAAAGCTTGTTTGTCTATTCCAGCTCTGTAGCAGTGGTTAATTCAAGGATAATTGCCTCTTCCTACAAACCTTGTTCTTTTTGCACTGGTTTGAATATGCTGCTTCTTGCTGGAGGGAGCAGCCACCCCCTGTATTGAGGTGTATCAGTGAGATTTCACTTGTGTCAGGGCAAGTCTGTTTAAAAAATTCGAGTCTGGTTTATGGGGCCAATGTTGTTTTTGAAGTTCATCCTTGATCTCTTCCACCTTATAGTATTTTCACATTACTATTGTGTTTATGTATTTCATCCCTTTGCTAATACCAGGGGAAGTGTGTGTGGTAACAGGAAGAGCCTGTTAGTCTATGTTTGTTCCCTCCCTTCCTTTCCCCAGCCCTCCCTGCCTAAGCCTTCTGCCAGGGTTTGTGTTGTACCTGAGGAGTGTGGCCACCACTTTGGTCTGTTCTGAGGTGCTACTGGAGTAAGTGTAGCAGGAATTTCTCCATTTGCTGTTGATGTTTTATATGTCATCTTGTCCAGCAGTCCTGCAGACCATCCTTCTGTGCCTCAGTATCTCCCCTATTTACACTGTATTGAGTGCTCTGAAGTTGCTACATTTTTCTTCTTGGGACCTCTCTAAATTCCCACTTTGTATGTGAGGCTGTGAACTGTGATCTCTGGGTACAACTGGATAATTATATTCCTTTTATGGAAGAAAAGGTGTATGTGTGTATCACTCATGCAGGAAAGACTCTCTGTGGTAATCATTTATTTCTCCTGTGTCACTATGAGGTCTAGTCCATGTGAGACTGAGGGAATGTGGATAACATGCAGCACCCCACCAGTCTGCTGAGGTCTTTGCCTGCATGTGGTATCTTCTTTGTGTCTGGTTGTGGACAGGGATTGCCTGTACCAGGGTTACATCTGTAAACACTGGTGTCATGTCCCCTGTCACCCTGGGGAGTTTCTGTGGTGGCAGGCTTACTCTGTCACATCACTCAGCCTCTTTTGTAATGTCCACTCTAAGCGTTTCTTTATTTCAACTTGCTGTTTCCCTTGCAAAATAATTTGATCAGTCTATAGGTAAGGTAGATTAGAACAAACAGGCCTTCCTTAGGAGCATCAGACTACAGTTGATGGTTTCTAGCAATGATCCCACATCACTTTCTCCTAATAACTGCTTATCCTGGAGAAAGTCAGATGAAGTAGAAGTTTCTTGCCCAAGGAGATTTCCCAAAGTGTCACGTAAGCTGCTGTGGGATGGACAGCAGATGCCATGAGGTACCGCTGCTCACAGGCAGTTGCTTTTGAGCAGGAACAGAGAGAAGAGGCCTGTGCTGTATCTGTGCTTTGTCAGGGACATGTTTCACCTTCACTGTGCAAAACTGTGTTCCTGTGTACCACCTTGGGGGCTGGTGCTATAAAATCTTAACTTGATGACTGACACGTGTGTCCTTGGGCCAGGTACTCTTCCAGGGCTGTCAGCTGGATGAGACAAAACGGGAGGCCTTTCTGCAACAAGTTTACACACAGCTCTGTGCCTTTGAAAACAAAGTGGCAGAGATGCTTCAGCAACAGTATGAACCCAAACCACAGGTAAGGAGGTCAAAGGTAGTTAGGCTCTCTTGGCTTCCTGTAGAGCTGCACTCTGAGGCCCCTCTGAAGTGGGGTGGCAAGAGGAAAAGTAGCATAGGTCTGCAGAAGGAGCAACTAAGGGGTTGGTGAGATGATGTTGTGGGATCCAGTAACGAGACATGAACGCTGAGGATGCAGAACAACTAAGTGTTTAGAAGGACTGATGAGGATGGTTACCTCCCCCAAAGCTAATGTGCAGTAAGATCGCTTGACTGTATCTTGGGAGAAATGGTAGGATGTGCTTTCTCTCCAAAGAAGATGGTGGGAGAGGTGATTATGTCCATTTAATTAATCTATAAATAGCTGTGAATATGCCCTTAGCCCTTGTTACATTTCTTGAATGAAAATACTTCCTTGTTACTTATGAAAACTGGCCGTAAAGCTGAATAAACAGGTAGTTTTTTCAAGTACTTGAAATCTGTAACAGATGCTGCTTAACAGCCATGGATATTTGTATCGGTAAATTAATGATAGAATCCTAGTATGGTCTGGGTTGGAAGGGACATTTACAGATCACCTCCCTTGACCTGCTGGCTATGCTGCTTTTTGATCTTGTAGTCAAAGTGATTGCTGGTCTGGCTGAAGTTATTTAGTCTTTAGTTAGCATTAGTTATTAGAGTTTTGGCAAAAGGGAGGAAAAAAAATGTCCCAAAATCAGATGACTGGGAGGCTACTGGTGATGTATTGCAGTTGCATATCTGAAGTGCTTGGAATCTCACATTCTAGCTGAAATTTATATGTTTCAATGCTAAAACTGCCAGTCCTGAAACAGAAAGTAGATTGCTGGAAGTAAATACCTCGACTGGTGAGTCCAGATGGTGTTTTTGCAGTGCTTTGTATGCATTCCTGCTTGATGCAATATTTCTCTCACGGTAAACTACCCTGTAACTTCTTCCATGCAAATAGAGGAGAGAGACACTCTTGCAGGCCAGAGGGACTGGTGAGTCCTGCCACAGGCTGTGGGGTGGAGGTGGGAGGCCCCAGGGGAAGGGCAGAGACTGAAACTTTTTTCACTTTTGAAGTTGTGCTAGCTGTATCATTGTTAACAAGTCTGAATTTAAGGCATCTGGCAAATTAAAGTGATGGACAGTCAGTATTTTTTGCTCATGGGCACAGACTGCTCCCATTTCTGCATAGCAAAAGTTTAGTTAGTTCTAGTTTTACTTTCCTAGCTCCAATCATCTGTAGCTTTGTAGAGCGGGGGCGTCTCAGCCATTCTCTGCATTAGCAGTAAAAATGAAGCAGTATTTCATTACAGGGTTGAACTGCCAGAGCCTTGTGGGGATTAAGGGACTATGAATACAGTAGGTTTCTCACTGTTGTAATTATACAAATTTCAGGCTTTGCCTAGAGGATATTTTTCATAGAAGATGCAGAAGCCTACCTGCATTTGTTTATATCAACACTGCATAACGAGGGCCATTTGAGTTAAATACATAGGCACTAGACTTTGTCTTTGAGGCTCCTTGCCCCCTCTGCTGCAGAGCTTCACAAGTGAGACATAGTTGCCTCTGCCTCTCCAGTGTTTCTGGGCTGAATATAGTAGATTGAGTAGATGCTGAATAGCTGCAGCTTCTACTAAGTTACAGGGGGAGAAAGAGATATTCATCATCTGTTTAACTGGGAAATACTTTGCTCCACAGAGGATTTTTACTGACTGTGAAGTGTCTCGTATTTCCCCTTCTATGAGAAATCAGCTTAATATAAAGCTATGAGCATGCTGTCCCTCTACCTTCAAGCAGCCTTGCCCATCTGTTCTAGGGGGCTCAAGTGACCAGGATTTTAACATCATCTGGAAGTTAAAGCTGCAAATGGACTCTGCCGCCGTGGTCCAGAGTACCATGGGACTGCTAGACTGAAGGTGTTTGGAAGAGCGAGAACTAGAGCTAAGCTGAAGTGTGCCCCATGGGACCTTGTGTTGGTTTTTTCTTAACTTTTCCAGGTGGATTTATCCCCCCTAAGCCAAGAGAGCCCTGGTGACATGCAGGAATCATCTGGGAGGAAGCCCAGTGTGTCTGTGGTCACTGCTGACGTTGGTCTGGTCAGCATGGTCCGGCAAGGGATCCTGGCCCTGCAGCTGCTGCCCTCCAACTCCAGCGCAGGTTGGCTGCGTCCTCAGGGTTAAGGTTTGCCTGGTTGTTTGCAAAGGGTTGTGTTCCTTCTGCCATAGGCTGAGGTTAATTTTATAAGGGCTGGTGTGTGCATGGAACTTTCTGTTAAGGATGAATTTCAACAGAGACATTTACTCTGCATTCTGGGTTAAATTGTAGTGGTGGGAATGGGGAGGACCACACTGTGCCAAGTGCTGTGTATCAGTGTTGGGGAGTTTGTGAGGCAGTGCAGCTGTGACTGTTGCTCCAGGCAACCTGGGGTGTGAAGAGCTGTGCCCTTTCTCTGTGCTGTGATGTACCTAAACAGGATGTTTTCCAGGTCTGTAATGCTTTGGAAGCTCTAAACAAGCCTCAGGATTTTCCTTCTACTTTTACCCTGCCTAAACTTTATGTCTAGTGGATTTACTGGGAGAATGATAGCTGTTTGAGATGGAAGATGCACTAAGATGTTGCCTTGTTTACAGGTATTATAATAATTACGGATGGTGTGACCAGTGTCCCCGACGTGGCTGTGTGTGAGACTTTACTCAACCAGCTGCGCAGTGGCACTGTGGCCTGCTCCTTTGTGCAGGTATGTCTGCTGGAACCTGGCAGTGTGCATACCAGAGGAAGGCAAGTGGACTGGTGGTGGTGGCATTTACCTCCAGAGGAGAAGTGGGGGCCTTCTCTGTCTGTTTGAGTCCTTGACCAGCCATCTGCTTTGTTCTCAGCGCTGCTGTTCTCTCTCAGGTGTCTCCTTTATCCATCCCATAGGTGGGCGGTGTCTACTCCTATGATTGCAGCTTTGGCCACGTTCCCAATGTGGAACTGATGAAATTCATTGCCATGGCCACTTTTGGTGCTTACCTCTCTACGTGCCCTGAGCTGGATCCCCTGAGCCTGGATCTGAATGTGTATCACAAGGCATTTCTACTGTACTCCTTTCTGCGTACTGGGGAGTCCCTGAATCCAGAATATTACTGTGGTGAGGAATGTGCATGTTCTTGCTGCAGTAGATGGATGTCTTAGAGCCCCTCTCTTTGGGGAGGCTCCCCAGGCTTGGTTATGCTGATACTCTCCCTTGTCATGCCTTCTGTAGGCTGTGGGCACAATCGGTCACACAGTCTCACCTGTAAATCCCTTCCTGGTTCCAGGAATTGGGTGGACCAAGGGAAAACAAATGTCCCATTTTCCACCATTCCCCTGGCTCAGCAATCTGCAGTTAGGCCCACTGTGTTGGGCCTTGGTGGGGGATCAGAAGCTCTTGCCTGCCCTTCCGTGCACACTGGCTGGCTTGCAGGTGAGGATGTTCTGGAGAGCTTGTTCTAACAGGGCTTGCAGACGGCAGTTTGGATTGAAAAACTAGACCCCTGAGAACTATCCCAAGTGCCTCTCTGGTTGCTTTTATTTTGTGACTGTTAGTGATAGAGTGTGTTCCAGGAGAGATTAGTTTAGTTCAGTAAGACATGGAAACACCCTTTCATGTCCCAGTGATATGCTGGTGCCATCTGCTCTTTCTGTAACTTGGCAGCAGAAGCCACATAAACTGGCAAATTTGAAGAGAGCTGGCTTGGGACTTGGAAATGTTGAATCTTAAAAAGATCAGCTGTTAGTGGTTTAAGCTCCACATCCTGATACCTTTTAAAAAGCACCTGGGAACTCAGAGTTTTCCAGAGAAATCTGAAAAGCCCCAAATCTTGCTGTGTGACTGTTGAAACAGATGTGCAGTTTCTGCCTGTCTAGGCTGAATGTGGAATTCCAATGTGAGCCTGATCACAAGAGCTGTCCGAGAGGAAGCAGTGCCTGCCACCCCACCCTGTCTCTTTCTCAGGCCTCTTGGCCACACTAATGAACCTGTTTGCTGTATTGCAGAATCAGGAGTGGGTGTAAGTGGTGCCTGAAGGATGTACTGTTCCTCAGGCAAGCGGGTGTTCCCAGCAGCTTTCATGAAGCTCTCGGGGAGGCCTGTTGCTACAGGATGGGGCTCAGGGGAGCTGCTCCCTCACAAACCCATGTTTGGCATTTGCAGTGTCCCAGCACAGGCTGTTCAACGAGCACCTGGTGTCTGCAAGCAGCAACCCTGCGCTGGCGATGCGGAGGAAGAAGCACACGGAGAAGGAGGTGCACGCTGACCTTGTGAGCATTGTTTCGGTCAGGCTGCGCGAGGGCTACAGCATCCGTGAAGTCAACATCACAAAAGGTGACTGCTGCCTTGAGGGTTGGAGACTCAGCTAGGACTCTGTTCTCAGCTGCTTAGAGGAAGGCACAGGGTCTGCCATCTCAGCAGTGGTGGAACTGTGGAGGAAGGAGCCATTTTCTCCAAGATCTGTTTTCATGAGTAATTGCCTGATGTAGGGCTGCCCAGTATTGTGCAGTTATGCACTTGCCAGGCTCACCCTCTGTGGTTGTGCCTAGGGAGGGACAGCCAGTGATGCTCCATATCTTGGAAATGATTCCCCACAATTTTAGAGAAACTAGTGACAGAACTGGGATTTGCAGAGGGTTTTTTTCTGGATTTCATCTATATTTCTCCTTTTTTTTCTTCTTTTTCTAGTTCTAGCACTCCAAAATACTAACATGAAGTTTAGCCCTTTGGTACAACAGATTTAATGCCTCGAAACTACAGTCTTTCATAGGAAGAAATTGGGCGAAACAAAGATATTGTTAGGTGAAAATGTCAGATCAGTCGGGACCATAATCAATTCTAGAAGACCATGAAACCTTCCAGTGATCCCATTCTCTTACTACTGCTTACTACTCCTGTTGACTCACTAGATGTGGCACCTGGAGTGTGAGAACTAGCTGCTGACTAGAGACCTTGAGGGGTTTGATTGTCCTTAGGAGTGCCAGTAAATCCTACCTAAATTTCCATCTCCAGCTGTGACCAGTGGTAGTACTTTGAGATGAAAAAATCCAAATGCAAGCTCATTAGTACACTAGAATGTGTTTTATATCAGAGTCTGTGATCTAACTCTAAAACCATTCCAAACATCCCATGTGATATTTTCTGTGAATTTACTGTGCTCTGCCTAAAAACATGTAAATCCCTTCTGCCACTGCTCTGTTGGAAGACTGTCCCAGAGATTCATTGCTCTTTCTCTAGCTTCCTTTCTAAATTCCCTGAGACCATGTTAGACCTGTGTGGCTATTATCTTTAATTAAGTTTATCCTCCTCTGACTTGCACAAACATATTTAACATCATCTTTCTCCTTGTAATTTACCTTTTGGCAGGTTAATATTAAGCAAGCCAATTTTCACATTTCTTTTGTAAGGGCAGGCTTTCTCTTTTGTTTATTCAGGTTAATAGCTCTTTTGTTTTTTTTCCCCTTAAGTTGCTTTCTTTTCAGTTTAATCTCATATTTCTCAGAACAGTTGATAAGAGAGCTGTAAGTGTGGTTTTATCAATGCCTTGTTCAGCAGTGTTAATGTTTCTCTGGTTCTGAAGTAAAATACCAAATCTGATAGACCAAGAATCATGTGAACTTTCTCCATGATTGTGTTGCAGAAATCCCTGAGTCTTTCACACACCTTTTCTTTCAGCTGATGAGTCCTTGGGGGTGTTTTATTGGGTTTTGTTTGTTTAGTAGTCCCTAAATGTGCTGTCCTTCACATGGTAGTACTCTTAAGTTTGTCTTGTTCAGTTCACCTCACTGTTCCTCTGTGATGTCTGGCAATTGCAGTTCATTTGCCATGATGCATCTTATAAACTGAATGGAACTAAATCACCTTTTTTGGAGGGAAGATTGCTAGCAATCATAGTAGGATAATTCCTAAAATTGGTCTAACATAAATCTCCCTAATTTCTTGTTTCAGGAATTTTCTATTAAAAGTAAGTATCTGCTAAGTTTTCCCAGTGAGACAGCTGTTCTAGTATTGCCTGCAGATTGTTTTCACTAATGAAGGGGAGGTGTGAGATTACTTCCCTTAAATCCAGGCAAATTAGATCCATTGCACTCTTTGTCTAGGAATGTCTGTGAAACAATGTGACAAGTCCGTTCCTGTCCACCCTCAGTGTCTTCTATTCTTCTGTGCACAAGTTCACTCACAGTTTGAGCAGTGCTGGATAAAAAGCCTTTTTCTTTAGTCCAGCAGCAATGCTGAAGTGCTTTTGGTGACTCTGTAGTCCTAGATGGAAATGCTGGAAGAGCATTCACCAGGTATGAATCACTCAAAAAGCAGTCAGACAAGTTCATCTTATATCCTTTTGTACAAAGGTATAGCTACAACCTCTGTCTCAGGATATTGTAAAGCAGTGAATTCCTGCACTCTGGAGGAATGTATTAGAAATATCACCACATGTTACCATGCTCCCTGCATTTTCCTCCAGGTATTTACCTGCTGGCTTTTACTCCTTGGAATGCTGAATGGATTGGTCTCCCATTTTTGCAAGAGCAGAGATCAGCAGCTGCTGGATCAGAGTGACCTTCTGTGGTGAATAACTATGGGCAGGTGCACAGGGAGGAGTAAGAGCAGGATAAACACACATGACAATAATCTCCATTCTCCTTTCCTTTTTTCTTCTTTCTTTGAGCCCTCTCTAGCTCTTTGCAGCTCAGGGGCTTCTTGAGGCAGAAATACTTTCTCTGTATTTTTTAGAATAAATTTAAAAATGAAGTGTCAGAGGTATCAAAAACATAGAGTGTATTTCTATGCATCCTTCAGACTAGGAGCAGATAATGTTACTTAATACTTGGGAAAGGCTAAATGCTCTGGGGAGTTGCTGAAAAATTTGCTGAACTAACAGATTAAAGTAGAGTTGAGAAATGATCAAGACATTTAGACATTCAGCATTGCCTTTGCTAAGGAATAGCATGTTTGACTAATCAGAGTTCTCTGAGCTATTCTACAGAGAAGTGTATAACAAAGAACAGTTAATTAACCTGGATTGCTAAAATTTGCCAATTAAAGGCTGTTAAGGTGCCAGCTGGCTGTGAAGCAAGAGGAAAAAAGTGCAGTTGTGGACTTTGACACTGTCACCTTTCTCCTTTGCTTTACCATAGACAAAATAGAATAAATGGCTAGTTTTGTGCTCAGAGTTGCTTGGAGAGGTTGATTGTGATATTTATAAGTGCTCTGGTTACTCTCACTATTTGATTTTTAAATATTGAGGTATTTAGGAGGCAGCTTGGTTAGCTCTGCATTAGGAATGCAGGAGTGCATGTGAAGGGGAAAGGATTGGAAGGTATGGAAGGCAAGGAAGCTATGGGGTCATGGTGTGTAATGGAGCCCAGTTCTTTTACTTTCTGGGACATTGTCGGGGGATCTCCCTCTAACAAAAAAAGAATAAAATTCTTACTGACCATTTTGTGTTGAGGGCAGCCTGGAGGACGGTTTTCAAAACATAATCTTACTCTGTGAATCAGTCCAGCACCAAAACTGGCTAGTCACTAACTGAGCAGTGAGAATGTCTTCCTGATTCCTGTCACTAGAGAATAGCCAAAGTGAGCTTTCTGATAAAAACAGAGTTGGACTTTGTGAAGGAAATCAAAGTAGAAAAAATTTTATTAGCTATTAACTCAGGAACCAGAAAGAGATTGCTTTGTAGTAAAAAAAAGCCAAATATTCATTTAGATGTAACTTCAAACGAAGTAAATATTTTGCCTGTGTTTTCAGTTTTGCTTGTGTGGGATCATAGGAGTGAATTAGTCCAGGATGACTAATGGAAACAGAGGTGGAAGACGGAAATATTTTCATTTATTACCTAAGTAAAAATGTAGGAATTTACTTATCTTGTTTGCTGTTGATGAAATAGAAAGGCTTTATTATGAGAACCAAAATATTGTGCAGAAAGCGGTGGATGAGCCCTAAAGCAATGAGTGAGGTGACAGTATGAAATAAAGAGATGAATCTATAAATTCTTGTTTAGCCTCTGATAAACAAGACAATCTTCAGAGGAAACAACAGATTTTATAGTAACAGAAAGTGCATTTATAGTAACAGAAACCATCCATTGTAGAAAATATTAGTGATCTTAAATAAAATACTGCTAATCCCCCAGATTAAGTACAGGTAAAATACAGTATACACTTTTGATTATCTTTGTTCAAGAAAGGTGAATTCTTAAGGTGCAGGAGGGTCTGGGTCTGTTAAGGGGAATGAATGTTCTGTCACAGTAACAGCTGAAACTGGGTAAGGATTTCTTAGTACTGCACACTCCATGTCAATGTTATGGAAATGAAATTTCTCAATAAAAATAATCTAATCAAAAGAACAACTAATCATGAATTTGGCATGTACTTTGGAAAGTTTCTTCTGAACATTGATGGGGAAGAGTTCTTTGAGGGAGCCTCCCAGCAGGGACCATGAAAGCAAGAAGATGGCTTTAAAGTGGAGCCTGTGAAGGGGATGGCATGATGTGCTTATGACAGCAGCAAATGCAACTCTGCAGGAAACAGAGTGTCAAGGCTGATGATCTGTTCAGAACGTTTCCAGCACATCCAATCACTTATCACACAAACCCTGCAACTCTGGCAAACTGTAGAGCAGGCTGGACATAGAACAGATGATCAAGCAGTTGAAATGGCAGCAGTCATATGTTTCCCTGGGATGTTTCAGTACAAATACACGTGCACAGTCAGCAGGAGTGGGACAGTTCTCTGCTCTTTTGGCTCAGCAAGGCCTGCTGTCAGGTGTTTCTGTTAATCTTGTTAGACAGGCTCACTTAAAGGAAAAGGTAAAAATGTACAGTATGAAGAATAGGTGAATATTCATTCTTAACATCTTAACTTTGGGAAGAGGAGGTAAACATGGTGAGAAGCTTTGAAGATTGAAATTCTAGATTGCATGAAATACAGTCTGTGCAGGATGAGTAGAGATTAATTCAAGAATTAGGCTTCATCTTCCAGGTTGTTTATGATCTGGGTCCATCAGATGCCTGTGTTTCTGCAATGGGATGGATTAACTGCAGTGTGGATGACAAAACTTTATAGTTGAATGGCCCTGCTCACCTGTGCAAAACAACAGTTTTCTTGGAAACAAAGATGAGGCTGTGAAGAAGGGAGCCCATTGCAAATGTCAGCAGCACCTCCTCTGAGTTTCAGTTGCCTTCTGTAGTGTAGGTAGTACATGTATGCTTAAATAACTGAGAACTCTTCACTAAGCGCTTCAGTGCAAGCAAAGCCTCCCTCAGTTGGAGAGGAGAGAGACTTCAGATAAAGCAAACAGTTGTTAGATTACTTTGTTCCCCTCAGCAATCAAACAATCTCATGGTTCTCATGAATCCCTGGTCAGAGATAAAACTCAGATGTGTATGGAACAAGCACCTGAACTTGCTCTTCTGCTCCAATGCAGGTGGATCTCAGCTGGAGGTGAAACTAGTGCTGCTTTGGAAGCATAACATGAGGATTGAGTACTTAGCTGTGACACCCTGGCCCCTGGACCCATCAAAACGCAGCACTTGGGTGGAAGTGACAATGGAGGGAAGCTATGACATTTTGCATGACATCAGTTGCACCATGAGGAAGCCTATCACCAGTCTGTACCGCACCACAGTCATCCGCCGCTTCTGGAACACCTTGCAGAGGTGAGCTGGACCATGCCCAACAGTTTCCAGTGTTACCAAGTAATTCCTCCTTGGCATGCTAGGATGAGGGTTTTGCAGGTGGCCATCCCAACCCAGAGTTCAAAAGGAATATGCTCTGAGAAAGTGGCATGACTGATAACAAGTTTACTGTCTAGCAAAGGAAAACACTAAAACTGGTTTGTGATCTAGTTTGTAAGAATGCTTCAGGGTAATGGTATTGCTGCTCCTGAATCTGGATCTTGGGATGCAAACCTTACCTCTGACTGCCATCCCTTGGAGGTCTTGTGTTCTTATAGCACACCTGTGCAGCTGTGCTGCATGGTCCCACTGGGAGCAGCAAACACATCACACTTGTCTCTGGGGTTGAAGTGCTTGTGGGTCACAACTGTTTTCTGGCCAGGGTGACTGTTACTCCCAGCTATTCCAGAGATTCCTCTTCTAGCACTTCATTTCCAAGTCTGATCATCCTCTGTATGTATGAGACTTCTACACTGGAGCCCCTTTAACACACACTTTGCACTTGGATATGGAATGGTAGCATTCCCCATAAAGTTCTGTTGATGTAGAAGGGCTCCCAGGACACAGGGAGTGCTGTGTGTGCAAGCCCTACGCTGACTCGGGCAGCAAGGGGGAAGAGCGTGGGCTTTTGTGGATAACTGCCTCTTCTTTTCCAGCATCAACCAAACAGATCAGATGTTGGTACATCTGCAGTCTTTTGACACAGTCCCAGAACACTTTACCATTCCTGAGAGCACCAAGAATGGGGTGCCCCTCTTCTACATCCCCCCAGGCTCCACCACTCCGGTATGTTCCCTCTCTCTCTGTTTAACATGGGACAGAGACAGGTTGTCTCCCCTACCTGTTCTTGTACTCGGGCTTCATCTCTTGCTCATCTTGTCTTCATCTTATCCTGCTCAGAGAGGTCAGGTATGGTGCAGTGAACATCCCATGCCACACGTTTTTTCCTCTGAGACATCACCCCATGTCTTAATTCTTGCAGCTACACCTCTAATCCCAACAGCAAGTCTCCTGAGTGTGCTGTGAAACCTTCTCCTGTAGTGCTTGGATGCATGAGACTGATGGGAAGGATGACATGCTTGCTTTTGCTGTGCTTTTTCAGTAGATGCCCCATAGGCATGGAGTTGCTGCTGGCAGTGCAACCAGTGCCCTGGAGACATAGCTCAGTACTGTCAGGTGAAGATACAAAATGTGCTGAATAGTTGTTTAATAGGCTCATTGCTCTGAGCACTCATGTGGAAGGTGCAAGAGAGATACTTTTCATCTGCATGGCAGAAACTAAACAAAATATGAGCTAATAGTTTCCACTGCAAAATTCAAACTCATTGAAACTCTCTATGCAGAAGAACCAGCATATTACCTGTTCCCTGCTACCAATGTCCTTGGCATAGATGGAAGAGGACTAGCAGATCTTAAAGCTAGGGGAGTTTTAAGTTCAGAGAACTATCCCTTTTATTTTATTGCTTAGGCTCTTCTTTAGCTTTGCCTAGTACATTTGCCCTGTATAGGGCTATGTATCCCACAGTATATCTGGAACATCTCATTTTATGGCTAACCACCACTGTATTTCAATGTCAGCAGAGTTGCTATAGTTAGTGGAATCAATGTCATCATACAAACCTTCTAGGTTGCCCAAAGCCACCCATTCTGGCACCCTATTTACCTGAGCACTTTCAGATGAGTAATCTCACTGTTTAATTATTTTGCTGACACAAGCCATATATCCCCCTCTCAATCAGAAGGCACACCATTACATATGCCATCTTTTTCATGGTTGATTTACTTGATGCTAAGTAGTTAAATTCCTAATTATCTTGACATTTCAGGAGCCTAATTTATTTTTGCTTATGCTGTACTGCCTGTTTCAATGTGAACACACTTACTCTGTTCAGAGGAAATTACCCAAAGCCAGGATTGTGGCCTTCTTGGCCCACAACAGCTCAGCTGCTAGAGAAAGTCTTGCTCTCTCTGGGTGGAGAACTTCCATGCTGAATATTGTCCTATCATTTTCTCAGGTATTATCTTTGCAGCACAGTGGGTCTGACTCAAGCCATTCCCAGTTTGCCTCCTACTGGAAGCCTATCCTTTCCATGGATGCCAACTTCTGGCAGAGGTGGCTGCACATGCATCGTATTGTCATCCTTCTGGAGCATGACACGTATGTAATGGACAGGGCTGAGCTCATGTGCACACTGTGGGCCAGCTTGGGAAAGCAGCGTGTCCAGTTCAGTCTGGCTGAGGACTTGCAGCCCTTCTGCAGCTGCCTGTGGCCAAGGGAAGGGTCTTACTAGTGGGTCCCGATGGATGCTAAAGGTTTTTTAATCTGAGGAGGACAGTAGGTTGGGAAGTCATCTTTGGGTGGAAGGATAAATTGTTTCTCAAGTCCCTCTTGAGTTTTGATTTCCTGATGGCAGGGGGTGTGGGACCATCTGTTTGGGAGCTAACCCACATGTTTTTGTTTGCTGCTGGAAAATGTCTTTCCTAAAAGACATTTCCTGAGACTGGTCCTAGTTGCAGAGTATTGTGAATAATAGTCATGTGTTGCATGGAGGGAGACAGGATACAAGGGATATGCTCTCTGCACTGTGGAAATTCCAGTGCACCCAGGAGTGTGGCCTCCTCAGTGCTTGGTTAGGGGAGGTGCTTGTTTGTTGGCTGCTGTGGAGGAAAAAAGGCTGATAGACCAGTCAGAGTAGGATGGATGTCGCAAAGCCTCTGTGGGTTTTGGGGGAAGGAGAGAAACTGCAGCTCTGAAATGACTTTCTGGCCCATCCTGCAGGCCTGTGCCCAAGCACCTGCACACACCGGGCAACAATGGCCGCTACAGCACCATCCAGTGCCGCATCTCCCACTCAGCACTCACCTCCCTGCTGCGGGACTGGAGCAGCTTCGTGCTGGTGGAGGGCTACTCCTACGTCAAGCTGATCCACGGGTGAGTGGCTCTGAAGCAGTGCTGTGAGGGGAATTGGGTGTGTGGCCAAACCGAGGGTCTGGTTAGATCAGTGTGCGGCTATGGGCCCAAAGCAGATGTTTACAGGAGAGGATGAGAGCTAGATAAGGGGGTATGAAATCCTGCAGTTCCTAAACTGTTCCATTGTGTTCCAGGTGCAGCCTGGAGGGACAGGGAGGCCAGCTGGAGGGTTTCTTGCATGCTAGAACTGATATGTGTTACTGTGAAATTGTGTGGGTTGTTGGGCTCTGTGGAGCAGGCCTCTGCTTGGTTTGGCATGTCAGAGCAGCAAGATCCATGTCATTTCAGCCTTGTCCTAATTCCTCTTCCATAGGACTGAGGATCTTACCCCTTCCTCATTCTATGTGGTACGAATCATCTCCAAGGCTCCCTGCATGGTTCTCCGGCTAGGGTTCCCCATTGGCACACCTGCACAGGCCAGGAACAAGGTGAGAGCTGGCTGGCTGGCTTCGTGGGGTAGGAGCTGAGCAAGAAGTTCTGCATGTGGAAATGGTAGATCACAGGCAATGCTGTTGGCAGCTACCCTCTAATAAGTAACTACTATGTTAAGGCTTAGATGGGTTTGAATCTACTGTAACAGAAAGGGTCATTTGGGACAAACTTTCTTTGTTAAGTCTATGAAAGATCTAAACCCAAAGACTCAAAGATCAATAGAATAGCTGGTCACATGTTTTTTTTTCCCACTGCTTAATTCAATTGAGGGGCTTGAAATGACTCGAAGGTTATCTAGTCTATCCTTCTGACCAAAGCACAATCAATACCATCTGTAAAGAACAGCAGGTACTTGTCTGACTCATCTGTAAAGACTTCTGTGATAGATGTACTACATGTTCCCTGGGCTATCTCTTCCAGTACATGTATATTGAATCTATTGGGCAGGGAGGAATTTAATAGTTAAAATGCAAACAATGCCCCACATAAGCAGTACAGGCAGAGAAAAAAAATTAATACCTAGGAAATGTTTTCAGGATAAAAGTCTGTCAGAGAGACTTTTAATAACCTTTTTGTATCAAAAGAAATGAGTTGTCCTAGTCAGATGCAGAGGATGGAGTTACTGTATGGACTGATTCTGCAGTTATAGTGGCTGAGACAAGTGTTCCTAGGTAAGCATGGGAAAGATGCCCTGCTGTTAAACTGTGTGAACTTTTTAATATAAACAAGAAGTTTATCATTAAATCTAGGTCTTTTATCTTCATTAAAGAAAACTTTGGTTTGCCTAGCTTTGCTTTAGTGTTAGAGACTAGTCTGAGGAGAAGGTAACAAACATGGGAAGGAGATAATGAACCCAGATAATACTAAATGTTCTGGCACTCTGGCAGATCTACCCTTTCGTGACCTTAGGGGATCCAGGACTTAGGTGCTGGTTGCTGGGTCAATATGTGGGCTTGGTAATGCCAAGTGACAGGTTTTTTGAAGGAGTTACCTCTGGTAGGTGCAAATTAATATCTCTTTCATGAAGAAGGTGTAAGACAGGCAACATACCCTGCAGCTGTGGGCAAGCTCCAGATCATGGCAGCAGGAATTATATGTAGGTCATAAATTTTACCATCCACAATATTTTTTTTGCCTGCTGTAGAGCTGATTAACTACTCAGTGTGGAGTATGGCAGTAAACTTAGCCTGCTTTGTCTGAGGGAAAGGGGTTTTGTGCTGAGCAGTTCAAATTTCCAATGCTGAAGGGAAGAAAAGCACCTCGTACAGTCAACTTTCAGAAAGCTTTTTGGTGAGACTTTGTGTAGGGCACAACTGTAGAACTGTTGGAATGGGGTGTCATAAAACAGAAACTGCCTTGAGGGACAAAGCAAGGAAATTGAAAAAGTGCTGTTTCTTCACAGCAGAAGCTGTCTGTGATTTTCCCAGTCTTTTTTTCTAGTCAAAGGGTAGGGAATTCATTTGTGGAAAGGTAACATACTGAGCTGAGGAAATGTGCAGGTGGCACAAAGCTATTTCAGCCTCTCTGCTTTGGTGACAGCTAAGCAGCACAGTGGTGGCTGGAAGCCAGTATGGATAACTGCAAAACAGTGGGATTTGGGAACTTAAACACCATTAGTGATTCTGTGATATCAATATTAAACCATGAAGGGGACCCAAGTGGCAGCCCAGTGCAGGAAAGCTCTGGTTTAACATTTGGGTTTGGGGACATTCCTTTCCTTGAAAAAGACAATAGTAATGGTGGGAAAAGTTACTGAAATAATTAGTATTGAGGAAGATGGAGAGCTGCTGTTCTGTTTGCCTACAATGGTAATAAAAATTGAAAAAAGTTGAACAAAGATCATGAAAAGAAACCTAACATAGAAATTTCAAAGAAAACACTGGGCTATTGTGGGAATCAGATGCTGGTGTGGGTAGAACTATATTCAGAGCTACTAAAAGCTAAAAAGTGTAGTCAGGAAGTTGTTGTGAAAGTATCTTGAAGAAAATTAACCTAAAAAATAACCCAGGCTCCTGAAACCTTTTGCCATAGAGGTTTGACAAGTGAACATGATAGTGAGAGAATACATAAGACAGAGCCAGACTGTTCCCACAGCTGATTTGGACTAGTTTACATTTACTGTAGGCTGAGGAGAGGAGGAGGGAAGAATGAGGGTGGGTGCTTGGACTGCTTCTGTGGAGGAGCTGGCATGCAATTAATTTGTTTTTAATCTGAGTTTTGAAAGGCAACTTCTTCAGCCTTGAAATAGTATTTGGGTTTTTTTTTTAACCTAGTTTTTGCTTTTAGAAATACTTAAAATAGGGACCAAAGAGCCTTGTGTCATCTTGATCTTGGTCTTGCTAGTGCCTCAGAAGTAAAATGACCTTTAACTCCTGCTCTTCTCTGTATTCAAGGAGTGTTCTGTTCTTTTTGGTCAAGCTCTTGTTCTAGACACTTATTTTGAGTAGTTTATGTCTCCAGACAAAGTTGATCATGTTTACCTTTTGCTTTCACCATGACAGATAGTGGAAGAACTACGGGACCGAATCTTGCAGCTGCGCTTTCCCCACAGGGTCCAGAGCAAGGAGGCAACTCCAAAAGCAAAGAGGAAAATGTTGGGCAGTAGTTCTCCCTCCAAGTCCCCACCTGTGGCTGGGGCCCAGTCAGCCCTCTCAGACAGACCCTGCCTTGTTGTGCTGCACAAACCGTTGGAGAAGCTGCTTATCAGGTAGTGATGAGTCCCAGACTGTCAGCATAGCCCCCTTGCCCTGCGGAGTGGGAAAGAGGAAGATCTGTGGATGGTGCTGTCAGTTTTAATGAGAGTGCTGTGAATGAAATGTGTTGTTGGGATGGGTTTGGGTTGCGTGGCTGTGAGTTGCAGCGGGGATTCTTGGTGCACAGGCAGATTTGTCACTCCTAATGAAATATGATGTAAAAGTAAATTTAGTTACTGCTGTCTGAGCAGGATCCTGTGCTGGGCCAGCCACATTCTGCTGCTGGAAGACTCTGTCCTGGGCCCAGCAAGTGGGTTGTGAATCCAGACAGCTCTGACCCTAAACAGAAAAAAACCGGATTTTTTCCACGTCAGCATGCCACACTTCTGCCCTCTCCTAGGTATGAGAAGCTGCCTTCTGACTATCGAGCCCCCTTCATTCTCAACCTGGAGCATCCCCCCGTGTCTGGTCCCCTCACCATGGTGGCCAATCGCACTGCCTCTTCCACCCTGGCTTCGCTGTCCCGCTACTTCTATCACCAGCGCTGGATCTGGAGTGTCCAGTCAGGGCTCGCACCGGCTGTGCCCATCACTGCTGTGGCCCAGCTCCTTTCCACACTCACAGAGTAAGTTGCACACCTGACAGGGGTCCTCTCTCCAAGCTGCTCCTGGGGATATGGGGAAAGCAAGGTCAACCTTACTTGTTATATATGTGAGGCCTTATTATAGGTGACAGCTAAAGCTGCTGTGCAGAGGGTTTTGGTCCGGTACACAGCTTCTAGGGCCGCTTGGGTCAGTAGTTTACCCAGTTCTGCAGCTGTAGCTGGGGAAACTGAGAGAAAATGTCCTGGAAAACATGCAAAAGGGCAAGATGTGTTATTGTGCCTGGAGTGTGCTGATCTTCACACAGGCTGTTCTGGCAGTGTCATATCTCTCCATTCTCCATGTGCAGCTCCCTGTCTTGAGAAGGATGATGTTTTGGGGTGAACTGTACAGTCATTCTTGCATTTAAAGCTTAAAGTAGGGGTGGAGAAGTTCTGCAGGTCTGACTTTTTCTCTGTTGCAAGGGTTCGTCTGTCAGAGGGTTTCCACTTTGCATCCAGCGGGGATGGGATTATCAACATGGTGCTGGAGCTGCCCATACAGGTGAGCCTGAGTGCTGTCCTCTTGTGGACACAGTCCCTCATTGCTGGTTCTGGGGCAGATTCACTCTCCTGTGATAGGATTTATCATCTGCTTCTAGCACACACCGTGGACATGTATAGGGAGAAAGTAAAGCAGTTTGTGGGTTGGGCATTTTTCTGTCTTCATCTGCATTTAGAGAGCTGCTTTGTGGCAGGGGTGTGCTGTGCTGGAGGAGTTCTTGGGTTTGGGACAGGCTTCCTCTTTCCACCACTGCTAGTGGGGCTGGGTGATGGGGCTGTGTAAGGGAGTACTGGGTAGGGCTCATGCAGTGTCTCCCCTCCAGATTGATGGCTCAAGTGAGAGCAGCAGTGACAGGGAGAAGCACACCTGTGTCGTCCAATACATCCTCTTCCCACCCCACTCTACCTCTACCAAGGACAGGTGAGGCTGGTGTTCAGCTCCCAGGGAGGGTTGGCAGTGGAGTCACAGCTCCAGACTTGCCTTTGCAGTCGGTGTGGATAGGAGGGAGACCTCCTCCATCTAGTACAGATAGCCAGTTGTCATGGACTGACCACCAGGTCGCTGGGGCTTTGCTTGCAAATCTTGGGTTCCTGTGGCTCCTCTCACAGCTCTGAGAAGAGCTGCAGTGGGCTGCTGGCTCTGTGCCACCTCACAGGACTTTCCTTTTGACTTCCTTCCAGCTTTTCCACAGATGATGACAATGATACAGAGGTAGAGGCCATTGAAGTGGACACAGAACTGAACCTGGTCACTGAGTGCTGGGTAGAGCCACAGAGTGGCCATGTCCACAGTACTGCTGAGAACTGGAAGCACCTTCATGGCTTGCCCTACCAGAAAATACCTAAAGCGGTGAGTCCCTGAAAGGGAAGGGGCATGGACTCTTTTGTGGAGGGAAAAGGGTTCAATGCAAGTGCACCACAAAACTGCAGGTAAATATTGAGGGCCAGAATAGATGGGAATGCTAGTCACAGAAGAGTCTGAGGTTTCTAAAAGAGGAACTGGCCACTGGCCATTAAAAGTTTCTTGACTGCAGTGCAGCTGATGCAATGCTTCTTTGGGATAGCTGGGAAAATAGAAACTATTTTGTGAAGAGTCATTCTACTGGAGGGAAGCAAGCTGGACCAGAGCAGGGACTGCAGGTTTGCTACCAGCACTCCTCCTGAGCAAGGTGAAAACAGGCTAAAGGGCTGGTGGAGAAGGAGGGAGCAATGAGTGAGAATAGGGCAACTCAGGCCACGGGATTATAGGTGTTTACTCTCCTTGCTTTTAGACCCTTTTCTTCTTCATTTGTGGGTAATAATTCTGCTTCATAAACTGAGCCTTAACTGCTTACTGCAGCTCTACCCCCGGGACCTTGCGTGCATCGCCACCATGCTGACCTTCGAATACATCAGCCAGTTGTGCCAGAACAAGGAGTGGGTCTGCCCTCCTTCAGATACCAAAGCTGCTGAAGGTGAGTCCACCATCAATGTCCTAGCAAGCTTGACGGAGCAAAGAAGAAGCTAGGTCTTGAATGTCTCGGGACCCATAGAAGGGAGAACAAGTATTTTCACAACTTTGTAGGCTTTGATGGCTGTGGGTCACTTTGTTGCACTTAAGTTGACAGAGAAATGGCTTCATGCTGGGAAGGCCAAAAAAGCATTGAGACTTTTCTGCCAAGGCTGGAGAGGTGATAAAGCGACCTTGCTTGAGTGGCAGGGTTGGGGTTGGTCCAGGTGACCTTTCTAACATCAATCATTCCGTAATTGTGTGAGAGGAGCTGACTTCAGGAGCAGATGCAAAATGAGCTCATCTCTTCAGTGATAGGCCTGGTATGCCTAGGCAAGTTGTTTTATAGAAGTTGTAAAGGATGTTAAAGAAAAGCTCCTCTGTTCTGCTTCAAGTCACAGTTCCTAGAGCAGTTTGTGGAATTCTTGTTTTCTGATGGTCCTGTTCACCTCTGTTGCAGATCCAGACATGGGGCCTGGCTTTCGAGTGCATGAGATCCCATTCCAGTTCAACCTCATGAAGCTCTTGCCCAGGTGCCAGCAGGTTGAAATGTTCTTCCTAATGCTGACAAAAGGTAGGTGCCTCTTCACCACCTGCCTCCCCTTGTCCTCCCTCCATGCCTGTGGGCAGCGTGCTCCATGTGCTTATCTCCCGGGGCAGCAGCATGTGGGCACTGCCATGCCTCTTTGAGTAGCTCAGTGCTGTTCTTCCCAGCTCTGCAGGCTGTCCAGCTATACTGCTGCCTTTTCTGGGATAATTTGTAAAAGCTGCTTTTGAAATCATTAAACCTAGGTAGTACCTTTGTGGTGGTGGTTTCTTGTGTAAATCCCCAGCATCTCCACAACTGTTAGAATAGCAGGGTGGATTAGGGCAGGGTAACTAAAGATGCCAAAAACTCCAGAGCCTCCTCAGTACTCTCCAAGTCAGTCTTGCAGAAGTGCTGGGGAAGTTCCTGGCTATGTGGAAGTGTTTCTTTGCCAAGGGCTGTCTCCTGGGGTTGTGGACAGGTGGTGGCTATGGATATGCTATCTCTGAAGGTGCCATGGTTCTGTTTTGAAGCAGAGAATGAGGAGGTGACCAAGGACTCTTCATTTGTGCCCAATGAAATGCTACTAAACCTCTTCCATGGCTGCCTTCAGCATGACCTCAGTGACCGGGAGATCCCCATGGCTGATGCTGATCATGTGGCTTTCATGGAGCAGGTTCTGCAGCGGGATCGTGATGGCCATCAACCCCCCTTCACACTCCCTGTGATCAGAGGTAAGGACCAGGAGTGTGGCAGTAGTGACACCAGGAGCAGTGAGGTTTCTCAGGAGCCTTGCTTTCAAGCCTCATCCTCAGCTGGGGTTTCTCAGATTGGTTTATCTGTGCTCCATTTCAGAAGAAACCTTAAAAGCTTCTGGGACCCTGGAGCAGCAGGATGCTTCTGCATCCTATCATCTTGTTGGCAGTAATGGCACCAGGGATATGACTGGCTCCACAAGTACTCTGCAGGTACTGCTGTGCTGCTGTCCTTCTCCTGAGACCCCTCAGAAACCAAGGCAGCAGCTGTTTAAGAGCAGGAGAGTTAAAAGGTCTGAGAAAGATTGAAAGGCAGTTGTTCTTGCCCACCTTTGGCAACAGTTTAGGCTATATCCTGTGGCTGAAGTCAAGCAGGAATCTGGAAGGTGTGTGAATAGTTGCATTTGCTATGGGCCAAGCCTGTTACAGCAGCACTGGTAACTGTGCTTTAGATTGCTCTGAAACCATGGGCAGTCACTGCCTAGAGATCAGAATCGGCCCCAGCAATGCTGACTAAGCATCTTCTGACTTCTGACTGAGCCAGGCTGCTCCCAGAATGGTGACTTCTAGAGCCAGGCTGCTCTGAAAATATGCAGAGGTGACCAGGGTGATTTCAGCACTGTGCCAACTAGCAGGCCTGGAAGAGCTTGCTCTGTGTGGTTGCTACTTGCCTCAAGGTGGACCTGTGCCATATGCCATGAGTTTATCCAACTTCTGCTCTTCCATCAGAGCCTTGGCAACACAGAGCTGCCTGAGGATGATGTGACACTGAGTGACACGATGGGGCCCTTTCCCCCTCAATGGCGATGTTATGCCAAGCTGGTCAACCCACAGCATGTGTTCCTGACCTTCCTGCCATCCACCTTCTCAGGTGAGGGGGTCTGTTGTGGGGGGCAAGAGGAGGCAGCAGTCTCATGCACTTCCTCAGGGAAACAGAAAAACTAGAATCAGCTCTTGTAGGATGGAGGGAAAATTGAACAGCAGAGTTCGTGCACTGTCTTTTTGCACCACACGGCCAGAATAGTATAGTGCCAAGTGTTGAATGTCCTGCTCTTCTTCTCTGGATGTGATGCTGCCCACATAGGGTTTTCAGGTGGGCGATAATGGTGTTGAGTTGTTTCCTAGCTGCAGCCATTTGGACTATTTTCCCAGTGGGGTTGTTAATGAATGGATTAAGGAGATTGCTGATGGGATGGTCTGAGAGTCCCTGCTTCTGGGCATTGGCACTGGTCTGGCTTTTACAGAGCCACTGGTGGAGGCTGCTAGGCTCAGGGGAAGCTGCTTCTGCACACAAAGAGGTAGTAGGAAATCTGATCTCTTGGGAATGTAGATTGAAGGGTTAAGCTGTTCTCACTGGACATAGAATGATTTTATTTTCTTTTCCTCCAGATGTACAGAAGCTGATGGCTTGTGGGTTGGACAAAACTCCAAAAGATGAGAGTCGATCTGCGGAAGATACCATGGGATCTGTCTGTGCAGAGCGAGTCAGGGCTGAAGAGGGGGATGCTGCAGTGCCATTACCAACCCTCAGCATAACGCCAGCCCATGGTACCAGCAGCGCCTTGTTAAAATATTGGTGTTCTTGAGCATACTGTTGAGCAGGTTAAAGCAGAAGGAATAACTGGCTGCTGCAGCCTGGCAGCTTCTGTCAGCAGAGTCGGGACAAGAGGCACAGTGATGTTCATGGGGGCATGAAGGAGTGTAATGTGAGTTGGGTGCCCCTAGCCTAAGGTTGGTTCCTTGTGGGCAAGGAGGTTGCAGGTAGATAGAAGCTACTAGGAATGGCAGTAGTGGGCTGCACTGGAAAGTCAGTGACTGGTTTCATGATCCAGACTGGCACTGTCAGCACCAGATTGTCTTAGGGACAGGCCTTGAGGTATACGGGATTTGATTTCACAGCCCCTAGGGCAGATCAACTATGCTTGCAGTGAAGATGAAGGGTTGTGCTGCTGCAGGAGGTGGTGATGAGCAGTCATGGCTGTAAAGGGGATCAAGGTGGCCAAAACACTGGGCTGAGTGGTTGGGTGCTGGGTGAGGATGAGTGGTGAGAAGCTAGAAAAGCCAGTATCTAACTGGTGCTTCTATGAGAGCTGTGATGTCTCAGACCAAGAACAAGGAACCATCAGGGTCCTTTACCATAGAATTGTTTCTTTTGCAGAAGTGAGCCAGGAGCCTGGGGAGCAGAGTGGCCCCTCCCGGAGAGATGTGCACATCTCCTTCTGCCGCCAGAACTCGCAGTCCGAGCTGGGCGAGTGCCGCCGATTTCGCTGCCCCATTTACATCTACAGCTGCTCTCTGGAGCTGCTACGAGAGCAGCTCGTCAGCCCACGGGCACACCGTTCTCCTCGGGACATCTTTTTCAGGTAATACCAACCATACTTGGTACCTAGACAAAAAACAGAGGAGTTTCCTTGACAAGAGGCTGGCTCTAGCCCTGTTGCTTGGTTTGGCCTGGCCTCTCTGCCTGGCAGCAGCCACTGCCTGCATATGCCCTAGGCTCTGCTTTACTGGCACCAGAGCCATTTACAGTCTAAAATGCGTTTTGTTGGTACTAAAGGCTGTGGTTCCTCTTTTCCAGGTCCCAGTCTCTGGAACGTCCTCCAGCTGCTGCTTGGCTAGACCACAAGCACAAGGAGTTGGTGACTTACTGCACGCTGCTGCAGGAGCACTCCCACCAGTGCTATGTGAAAGGTGAGCAGCAGCACATGGGACCTGTGGCAGGGTTGGGGCTGGATCTTCTTCTAAGAAAGCAATGACTCATTTTCCTTGTGGTCTCACTCCAAGCAAAGGGAGGAGCTGTGGGACTGATGTACCACCAGGAGGGACTTAAAGATACCTCTGTGCATTCCCTATGTGCCTTAAAGAGGCTGTTCCCAAACCTGTGGAGTGCTGTGAAGGAGCATCCCTTCTTTGATGCCTTCCTGTCACCTTCAGGGTGACAGATGCCATGGGCGCTCTGGTGTCACCCAAGCCCAGGCTAACATGCAGCGTTAGGTGCCCTGGGTGCCTCCTGTCTCCCAGCAGCAGCACTGACTCCAGCTCTGTGCTGGGACTTGGTGAAGATCCACATGTGGCCACTGCCTGACTCCCACAGCCTCACATCCTTGGGATGCCATGGGATGCTCAAGCACTGTATTTATCACTAGGGCTGTTCAAGACCCTTCAGCAGTCACACAGCATCAGCTCCCAGGACCTGCTTACTGCCATGGACTACTGTGAGGAGCTGCTCCAGGAGATTGATATCACCAACTTCCTGCTGACGGTGTGCAGCCATGTCCGCTCGTTCCGAGAGAGCCATCAACATTTCCATACACATTCCAAGACAGCCAGCTTCCAAGTGGGCAGCATAGAGCAGGAAGAGGAGCAGAGCTCTAGGGAACGAGGTGTCTTGGTCTCTGAGTCAAGGTAGGGATCCAGCTCAGTCTTGCCTTCTGTTCTTAGCATCATACCAGGACAAATTTTTTTTCAAGCATCTTGTAGTGCCAGCTAGAAGGAATGCTGCAGGGCAGAGTCTAACAGCCACACAGAAGAGCAGATACTTACAGTGAGATATCCACCTTGTACGATGTCCACCAGGACCCTCTATTTTTTGCAGTCTCTGGTGACATCCATCCTTCCTTTCTCTTGTAGTCTTGGCTTATTACTGTCCCATCTGGCCTGAGCTGGAGGGCAGTCTGTCTGCAAGCCTGCAAGACTTGTTTCTGGAGAAATTATGCATCTCCTGCTGCTTGACTCATTTGAGCTTGCTGTTGACTCTGGTGTAAATGACTACTTTGTTATCATTTTCTAATGAATAAAGTGTCACTTTTTTTAATTAAAACTGTGGAAAAAATGCACAAGAGAAACACCAAGGCAGAATTGAAATATGCTAAACTTCTGTCCTATTCCTCAGGGTGTTTATGAGGTTTGTATCTTCTCTGAAAACTTAAGGGGGAAAGAAGTTCTGTGCCTTAGTGTCTGTCAAAGAAGCACTTAAGTCCTCTGCACAGTTACTTTATCTGAGTTCACTAGCATTTATTGGGAATCTCCAATGCTATGTCCCTTTATACTGTAATTCATAGAGCTGAGACTGATTTTGAAGAGTGGTCAGTGTTTAAAAAGTCAGGTGACTTCAAATACTACTTTCCCCAAGAAAGACTGGCAACATTTTTTTGTTTATACAATATTATGAAACACCTTATATGAATGCAAGTTGCATAAACTTTTACTGAAGAGTAAAAAGAGCTTGTGATACATTGCACCCAGATCTGCCACCTGAATCACTAATTTGAGTACCAGGGGAGTCCTTTGACCAGTCAATATCCCACTCCCCAGATGGCTTTTCCTGAGTTTTAGGGACTAATTCTGTCATGGAGCTGCTGAGTGAACATGGGCCTGAGTTTTGCTGCCCAGACACTGGGGTGCTGGCATGGTGATACTTGCTGTGAGGTACCCTGAACTGGCTGCTGGTAGTTCAGGTTGCTGCAGGCCTGTCCCTGTAGTCTGTGTCTCTGTTTCCCAGGCAGGGTGTGTAGTGTGGTGTACAGGCATGGCAATGTGATCAGCATGGTTAAACTAGCTCAGGCCTGGCTTCAGACAGCAGGAGCCCTTATCTGGGCAAATGTGTGGCTGCTGGGCTGTGGAGTTGTGGGTGTTCAGATTGTGTTGACACAGATGAGGTTTGGGGAGCTGGGAGGTGGGATGCTGGCAGGATGGATAACACATAAAACTTGTCTTGTTTCTCAATCTGCCTGTCTGACCTGTCCACAATCCTGTCAGTGCTGAAATGGAAGACAGTGAACAGGACTCCCATAACATTGCCAGCCCCACAGAGGAGCCAAAGAGCAGTGTGGGCACCAGCTGCTGTTCAGAATTTCCCCTCTCACTGCTGGAAATTGGACAGCCCTGCCAGGCACACCCAGACTTGCACAAAATTATTCAGGTGAGGAATGTGCAAGCTTGACCTGGCTTCAACAGGAGGGTGTAGAGTAGGATGTCTGCTTCATACTTGGGATTTCTCTTTTAGGAAAAATTTCTGGAAATTGGAAGTTTACATTTCAAGCCAGTGCCATCAAATCCTCACTATTTCTTCTACTGCCCACCATCAGCCAAGAAAGAGGTAGGCATGGGGATGTCCTGGAAGGTACCTGATCCTTGTGAAGTAGCTCTTCTTGATGTCAAATCTGGATTTGGGGCTGGCAGACCCATGGGTAGATTTAGTCCCTGGAGCTCCCATCAACAACCTGATGTATTGCCTGGAAGGGTTTTAGCATATGCCCTTTCTTTCTCCATCTCAGGAAGAGGCATCTCGGGATCAGACAGACAGGAAAGGCAGTGAGGACATGGAGGGATCAGAGGCAGAAATGGCAGCTGAAGAAGGTAAAGTTTGCTTGCTCTGTCTTGGAAAAGAAAATGTCTATCCATGTGGTGATGCCCTTCAGAGCTAGGTGTGTCTGGTCAAGTCTCTGGAGATGTGGACCTGTTTTGCTGACAGGGAACCTGTATCCACAGGAGCCGTGTCTGGATGCTGCATTGCTACAGAGAGTGACCCAGAGCTGGAGGTGGAGTACCGTGAGAAGCTGGAGCACGAGTTCCCAGACACAGATTCCCTCTCAGACTCCAACACGGTGAACCAGGATGACGACTCCTTCAGCGTGCTGGGAGGGGACTCGCTCAACGAGCAGGAGTTCCTGGAGCAGGAGATGCCCCCGCTCTTTGTGCACCTGACCTGCTCAGTGAAGCTGCGTAGCCAGCACAGCTCCATGCCTGTGCAGTCCCTGCCAACTTGTCTAGGTAAGAACAATTCTTGCTGGGAGGTTAAATGGCAGTAGTGCATCTACTGGGTGAGCACTGGTGAGTAGGCTCCTGCTGGGTGAGCAGCCCCCGGAACAAACATGCTGTGTCTTAAACAGCAATCTCCCTGGACCAGCCTTCCCTGTAAACCCCCAGGGTTTGCGGTCATCAGACAAGGGCTTTTTCACCAGGTCTCCCACTTGTTGTGGGATTGGTCATGGAAGGTTGAAAGGATCATGGAAGATGATGGTGGCCTTCTTGAGCCTGTCCAGGTGTGTGTGTGACAGCCACCTCCTGCAGTCTCTGTACTTGCCACCAGGCTGGGTATGTGTTTAAGCAGAGATGTTTGTTGCTTGAGTCCCTTGGTTTGTGATCTCTCCTCAGGGGAAGTTCTGGGCTGCCTGGAAAGCTGCCAGGGCTTGAACACCATTGACTTGGGGGACCTCTGTGTGACCCTGGACATCTTTGTGTTGACACTGCCCCTGGAGATAGAAGTTGTGAACACAGACATCCTCCACAACAGGTAGGTGGAAAGAGGCCCAGTCACCCATCCCCTGCCTGCCCTAGCCAGACAGTCATTCTTGTCTCATCGCCATGTACAGATTTACGATTCTTCTTGCAGAGCCTGTCACAGCCTTAAGAAAAGTAAAATATTTCCTAGATAGGCTCACCTTCTATAGAGATCCCTTTTCTGCTCTGTGTTTATCCTCTCTGGGTCCAACGCTCAGGTTGCTCTCTCTCCTGTGACAGATGCACCTCGGAGAGCAGCGTGTCCTTCACACGCTCTCCAGGGCAGCCATCCTCTTTCCGCTCGGATGAGGATATCATGCACAACCTGGAACGGCTCCCGTCCACTGGAGATGAAAGGTATGGCACTGCAGGTGTAGCAAGCCCCTCACCGCTTCCTTTTACTGCCTGGGAGCTGCACTGTCGTAGCTGCATGAATGAGAAGGGCTGGTTGATTCTTTGTCTTCTCTCTCCTAGGCACCCTGCCCTTTCCAACCTCCCTGGAGTGCACAGACAGGCTATAGAAGCCACTATGAATGAGGTAAGCCAGATTTGCCTCCCTCCTTCCAGCTAGAGCACACAACTGCTGTTCCAGACTTCCTAGTCTGCTCCAAGCTGCAACCTGTCAGCCAAACTGACTGTTTGGCTTTACTGGTGTCACAAAGGCTGTTAGCCTTGTGGTTCCCAAAAGTGTGAGGTTACCGTGAGAAAATTCTTGCTGCAGTTGGGGTTGGCTAGGCAGAACTGTTTTCTGAAGGCCTTTTCTTAGGTGCATTCAGGAGATGAGGGATGTGGGTGATGAGAGAGACTGCCTTCATCCTATTGGGGCTTGGGTGTGAATTTGGGCAGGTTTGCAAATGCAGGTCACCTGGATGTTGCTCTGTGTCCTTGCTCTGCTCAGATTCGCTGGCTCCTGGACGATGAGATTGTGTCAGCACTGCGTCACTCGCAAGTCATCAGCACTTCCATCCTGCACAGGGTGGCCACCCACATCTATAACTCCAAGGGCCGGCCCAGCTGCCACAGCGAGGTGGTGCTGCTCCAGTTTGTCTTTGGGCCTGAGCACTCTCTGGAGAAGTTCAAGGAGGTAAAGAGAAAGCCCTAAGGCAGCATCATGCTTTGCTAGCAGGATGCTTATTCTTCTGTGTGTTGCAGGAGTTCAGAAGAATGGCTCTGCCAGGCTACATGCTGAATGCAGAAGGCAACGACTACCACTACATCTCCATCAGCCGCCTGCACTCCAGGAGGGCTGCTCCAGACCCTTCAGGGACACCCTGCTTGCAGCAGCCAGCTGGAGGGGGCACCAGGACAAGCCTGGGCCAGGCAGGCCAGGAGGGGAGCAGTGAAACAGAGGCGGAAGGCTCTGAGCTGTTACACCACACAAGCTGTGTCCTCCCAGAAGAAGGCAGGGGTGTCTGGGAGTGGCCAGAGAGTGAGACACGCATTGTACCGGACACAGGAAACCCTGCAGCTGGAGGCAGCCACACACAGAATGAGGTGAGAAGCACTGAGCAATCTGTTGGTGAGAAGGTGGGGGACACTGGTAACAGAATGTAGAAGGATGATGGGATTTTTTTTCAGTGCCTGTTTTTCTGGTCATTTTTGTGACCTTGGCTTTATGCAGGCTCCAGGAGATATGCTGAGACTTGATCAAAGCAGAGCACCAGGCCAGGACTCCATGGAAGAGGCAGTTCCAGAGACAACCATACAGTCACTGCCATCATCATCCTCTGAGAAGGGAAACAGTGAGAAATCACCATTGGTGACACCATCTGCAGCAAGCCTGTCTGAGTCTGTAACACCAGGCAGGGAAGGTAGGAGCTGCAGTGTGGGCAGGATGTACCTTAACCTCAGAAACTTTTAAGGGGAGAGCTCAGTTCTGGCTGTAACATACATAATATAACTGCTACTCCTGTTCCCATCCCTAAATACCTCCATTGGTACCCTGGACCTTGGTCTCTTCCTTGCTATGGTGCTGGTAATTCAGTGCTTGACAGTACCCAAGATACTGGGCTGTGCTGCTGCACTGATATCCCTAATGACCTCCAGTTCCTGGTGACTTCAGTAATGGCTGTGAGAGCCCCATTCCCCAGCACTGCCTCCAGTGGCCAGCACAGCCCGATTGTCCTGTGGCATGATGTTTCTCCAGCAGATGGGGAATTGTGATGGGGCTTAGCAAGTACTTTCATGGTCAAACCTCTCTTCTCTCTGCAGGCTCCAGCAGGCAGCGTCCCAGCCGAGTGCAGAGCCTCGTGTCAAGCCAGGGCAGCATGGACTCAGATCACCTGGGTGAGTCTGGCAGGGCTAGGGGATGACAGCGTGTGGTGGCACTGATAGTGACACACTGCAGGGTCTGTGTGCCTGGGCTGGGCTGAGCCCTGAGGGCAGGGTTTGTGAGTGGCTGCCCTGCCCAGGGAGGAGGTGTTTTGCCAGGCCTAGGACTGAAGTGAGGATACATTGCAGGTTATGATGGGGGAAGCAGTGACTCAGAGTATGAAGAGGCGTTAATGAGCGACCAGGAACCCAGGTGTCCCCTTATGCCAGATTTCTGGCTCATCATAAAAATCCATCAGGACCGAGTGGAGGTCTATTACCACACACGGTAAGGAGGGTCCCCTGTCTGACCACTGCCTCTCTGCACTGTGACCTTGTTGCCACTCACTCATCTCTGGACAGGATCTCCTCCCTGCCCAGTGTGGGTGGGAAGTTGCAGGAGTAGACTGGTGCTCTATAAGGGGGAAACTGCCATCCTTTCCCACTGTGTTCCTGCTCCCAGCACCCAGTGATGGGCACTGTCCAGGTGCCCTGCTAACACCCCATCCTCCCTTTCTTCATAAAGCAGCCTGAGTGTGGAGAAGGCAGCATCAGCAGAGGCAGAAGAGGAGCAGCCAGGGGAGTGCCAGAGTCTCAACCAGGTGGTGGTGAAGAAGATCAGTGAAATCTGCAGGGTTGTCAATCAGGTAATAAATCTTAAGAGGGTGCTAACAGAGCTGCCAGTGATTAGATGGCTTAGATGAGAAGGGACCTCTGGAGGCTGGCTAGTCTGGGCTCAGCTCAGAGGAGGGCCTGGGGAGCCAGTTCAGCTGGTGAAGTCCCAGCTTGGGGGTCATAGGAAAAGGGACTCAGTCTGGCCCTAAACACTTCTTGCTGTCTTCTGTGGCTGTGCAAGCAACAGAACCAGTCTTTCCTCATCCTTTGCAGCGCTTGCTACTGCAGGACCTGCATGACAGCCACATATGCAACTCATTACTGGTGGCAGAAAGTGAGGAGGACATCTGGAAAAGTGAAACACCCTATACTTCATACAGGCAGCGTGTGATGCCCACGGATGGTATGGATATTCCCTTGGCTATGCCTCAGCTGCAGAGCTACACACATGCCTAAGAAGATGTTAACTTCCCTGCTGTGGCCCCAGCTATATCCTATGTTCTTTACAGATTACTCTGTAGAGGAGAGCTACCAGCCCCGGGACTACCTGGCTGCCACCATGCAGTTCATGCCAGGGCACTTTGCTTGTGAGGTGGTGTGGAGCACACTCATCCATGTGCATTCACGCCTCAAGATGGGCCCCAACATGGGGGTCTCAAGAGGTATGTACAGCCCAGGTTCCTTCCCTTTTGGCGTGTCTGGAGTCCAGCTGCTGGCTGGATTGGCGCTCCAGAGAAGGGTATGTGATTGCTAATGTCTCACATCGCCCACAGCTATCCAGGCACTTCGCTCGGTGCTCAATGCCTTCTCTGTGGTGAACAGGAAGAATATGTTTGTCTACCAGGAACGTGCCACTAAATCTGTTTTCTACCTCCGGTGAGAAGCCAGTGTGACTTGTTGGCCTGTTGGCCTTGCTACATGTGTTACACCAGACTGAGAGCTCCTTGGGACAGAAAGTCTCTGCCCAGCCTCAGGGACCATGTTGTGACCCAAGCAGCAAGTATCTGATTTCTGATGGGTCAGTCACATCAAGCCAGGCCCATCCTGCTGTCCCTGTGCTAAGCCTTTAAATGGGAGGAGAAATGATGGCTTTTTTGAGGCAGCCAGAGAACAGCTTTTCCACAAATTCCATATTCTAAGGACTAGTCACCCACAGGGGACTAGTGCACAGGGGAGGGCAGGGAAGATGTGGATCTTCTGTAGATGGACAGTGGGAATCCTTGGGAATGGAGGCTGACATGTCTTTCTCTTGTATTCAGGCTGACTGAAACCACCCACAGTGGGAAGGTGTGGGAAGCAGAGAGCAGCCTTAGTGCATCGTCTCGCTCACTGGCACTGACACGCAGCCAGGAGCCCATTTACACTGAGGATCTAATGGTGAGTCTGCTGCTCTCTGTGACTGGACATGGGTGCTCTTGGTCACAGGAGTGGAGGGAACTCAGTAGTTCAGCAACCTGGATTTTTTGTGGGGTAAAACACTGTGGATGTGTGGAGTGGGTCAGCAGTGGGTGGTGATTGCCTGACCCTGCTGGCAGCCTGGGACAATGATGGATCTAGAATTCATATGAAACTACTTCCACATGGCTGGTTTTTTTTTCCCAGGGTTCTCGATCCTCTCTGGACACTGCCTCATGCCGTAGTGTTGACTCTGCCCGCCCTGTGGGACAGATAGACAGGCACATCCAGCTGATGGTCCATGGTGTTGCCCCAGCAGGTATATGTTACAGCAGCTGGCTGCAGAGCTGTGCTGATGTAAAGCAGAAAAACAAAGCTCTGCTCCCTGCCCTCTTTGCTTGAAGAAAGAGGAATCTCTCTCCTGAGCAAACAGCTCTCCCTTAGCCCAGAGCTGCTCTCTATTCTGTGTGGGTGAAAACACAAGGAAAGGATCCATAGCCCACAATGGAACCTCCTGCAGACCCTGTGCAGGAGTTCATTTGTCTTTGCCTACTGCACCAGAAGTCTTTTGTGATCATAGACCCATAGAAAAATATGTCTGAAGAAACTGATGATGGGGAAAGTCAAATTCCCTGTGGGAAGCGAGTGTGAGGATGGTACATCCTGACCAGGGAGGGAGAGGTGGCTGTAGTCATTCTTACTGGATGGGGTGAAAAAGCTGCTTGTACCTCTGCTCACTTGTCAGGGCCTGAGATCACAGATGAGCTGGTGAAAGTGCTGCGCAGACGCCTGGACGAGGCCACCCTGGATATCATCACTGTCATGCTGGTGCGGAACTGCAAGCTGACCCCTGCAGATGTGGAGGTACCTCACTGACTAATCTGTTCTCTTCATCCCAGAGCACTTTCCTACATTTTTACCTGTTTCTGCCCCGAGGAAGACCAGGGCAGTTTGCTACATCCTGTTCCCTGCTGCAGTGCTTGGTCAGGCTAGCATTTCCCAAGGTATTACATACTGTGTGGGTGCCAGGGTAGCTGGGAGATTCCCTCTGCTGGGTTTGTAACATGGCAGGACTTTCCTGTGCCCTCCTTCCCACACTTTGGAATGGATGTGTGCCCGCATCTTGGGACTGTCCTGGGCAGGGCCAGGAGTTGGACCTTGATCCTTGTGGGTCCCATCTATTTCAGGATATTCTATGATCTGTCTCAGGGTCCTGCCCACCACACTTCCCCCTTTGCAGAGCCAATTGGTGTCATTTTTATCAGTATTAGAGCCCCAGGGCAGCCTGCTAGTCCCAGCTGGGTTTTAAAGCCTCCTGTGTGCAGTTTATCCAGCCCCCTGGGACGCCGCCCACAGAGGTCCTGCAGTTCTCCCTGCCGCCCTCAGCCCTGCCCTGGCTGCACGCCGTGGCCTATTACCTGCGCCAGAACCTGCTCATCTTCCTGCACACCCCCAAGTACACTGACAGCAATGTGGAGCACCACTTCAAGGTGAGGAGGGCTGGGATTGGGACAGCAGTTTGCCCAGCTTCTAGCTGCTGCTGGGGGCATTTGTTGGGGCAGCTCAGACAGCGCATTGCCAGCTCTACCTCGGAGGGTTAGGGAGAAACTGACACTAACTCCTGAGGCCTGGGGGAGTTTTACAGGACTGAGCACATCCTGATTAGCCCAGACAGGCCATGCTTTCATGACAGGTAGTTGCTGTGCAAAAAGCAGCAACCACAAAGCTCATGCCTACAGTCATCCCCCAGGAGCATGGGAGAAAACACCCTTTCAAAGCTGAACTTGGCTCCTTGCATGGCTCCCTCAGATCTAAGGACTGAAACATCGGGGTTAATAAAAATTTGGGAGCAGCTACCCACCACTTAGCATGGCCATAGTAAAGACAGAGGGTGAGGCCAGATATGTAGAACCACATAAGGGTTCCTTCACCCCAGCAGTGGTGAAGGCTGTGTTGGCAAGTGTTTGAGTAGGTCTGGATTTGATTCCATAGGTTTGGGGATGAGCTCTGCATATACAAAAGCCTTTTTCCAGTTAAGGCAAGTTCTCTAATCTTTGTCAGTATTCTTCCTTGTTCTCCTTAGCACTACTTCAACCACAATGGGAGCATCCCTGACCAGGATCTCTATTTGTACAACAAACCAGGTGGCCAAGGCACTGGTGGAAAAGGTATTGTGCTCAATTCTTCTGAAACAGGATATAGAGCTGTGTGTTGGGGAGGCGTTTCCCATGCTGGAGAGGTATGAGTGACTGAGGAGGGCCAGTGCTGGGGGAGTGTGTTCCTCTGTGGCTGGAAGGTGGGTAAGGTGTGTGCCTGAGGGACTGCACACCTCTGCATGTGTGGCGGAGCAAACTAAGGCCTCCCACAGAGAAACTTGCTAAGCTTGACCTATTGCTGCAGGAAGCAGCTCTAGACACATCAGGACCTCAGAGTGGGGCACAGGGGCTCCGTGGGGCTGGAGGTGGGAACAGTTGTGGCAGAAGCCTTGCTGCAGAGGGAAATCTGGCTGTGTGTAGCTGAGTGTGGGCTGTGTGGGCAATGTCCTTGCTTTTTTCTCTAGACTGCTAGAGAAGGGATTGGATAGGGCCCACCCTGCAGCAGGTTGTCACGTCATGTTTTGTCCAGGCAGTGGTCTGTCACCTGGCCATTGTGTGTCTTGTGCCCCCCATGCACTGTTTGAATGTTCTTCTGTTATGTAGGTACCATGTCGGACCTTGTGCAGCACCTCTTTCCACTCTCTCACTTCCAAGGTAGCACCTGTAGCTCCAAGTGTTACTCCATCTCCTTTTCCCATGCAGCTCTCTGGTCCCAGCTGTTCTTTTTTCCCTTATGTTGTGGCTTCAGCTCTGACTCCTCTGTGTGTTTGTGTGTGTGTGTCCATTTAGCTGAGCCCTGTTTCTTGCTGGCTGGATAAATGAGCAAACAGAACTTGTTGCCCTGAGATGGCAGCTCAGCGATTCCCAGCTGCTGAGGGTCCGTGTGCTGTCCCATTAGCTTGCAAGCAGTGAACTCTAAAATCCTGCATCTTTTTTCCCACAGGTGCAAACAGGCTTCTCTTCCCTGAGGAAGACAGGAGTCCTGATGTTTCAAATGTCATTGATGCCCCAGGGTGTAGCATCATCACTCTCCCAGTGGCTGTGCCCTAGTGTGGGGTGTTCCCTTGCTTAGCAAAGGGCTGGAGTGGCCAGGCTGGAGTGGCCAGGCACTGGGCATTAGATGTATGCTTTGTTTTTCAGTGAGCCTGGGTCAGAGGGGGCTCAGAGCCCCCCACAGATGGGAGATAACAGTTCTCTAGTTCTCTAGTTACCCCACCTCCAGTGCACCAGGCAGTAAGACCCTTGGCAGCTTTTGCTGATGTACTTCATTCTATAGCTCCAGAACTCAGATTTTGAGTTTCTTAGCTGTTTATTTAATCCATGATTTAATGGTTCGATTTCAGCTTCTCTATGCTCCTGGAAGCCTTGTTCCCTGTGACATGGAGGAGACCCTTTCTGCTCATTGGGCAGGCTGCTGACCTGGCCTTCTTGAATTGTGATTGTTTGTTCTTGTGTCCTCAGCTCAGACAGACTGAAGCAGAGCAGAGGTACAGGAATGGATGTGATAGGGAAATTCACCAGAGGCAGAAGGGGCTGAGTGTGGGAATTTATCCAGGAGAAGAAAGGGGGAATGGTCTATAATTACCATGTGATCATTTTGGTGGGCCTGGGGCCAATTGCCAAGCCAGACTGCTGAGGAGTTTGTGCCCTTTACTGTTTAAGAAAGAAAGTCTGGTTGGTAGAGCTCATAATCCCTGTCATGTGGGGCAGACTTCCTGCTCTTGGTGACTCTATTGACACCCATGTACTGGAGAGCTGCCCTGCTGCAGCAGGAGGCTCTGTGGGGGTTGCTCATAGGTGTAGTGTCCTTTCCTCAGTGTGGGTGCACATGAGCTGCCCTCTGATTTGAATGCCTACCTCTCTCCTTTGTGAGTATCTCTCTCCATCCCAGTGCACTCTCCCTGCTATGTCTTGGAGGAAAGGTTGCTGTAGAGCTTATGCTTCACAAGGAATGATGGAGACTGGGTGGTTGTGCTGCTGCTGATTAGGCTGGGCACAGCCTGCTTGGGCTGGGTTTGTCTCCATGCAGAGAGGGCACCAGTCCTCAGTGCAGAGCTGGGGGTTGGTCAGGGACACTGGTTTCTCTGTAGTAGTGGAGCCTGGTGTTAGTGCCATCCTTGCTGGGATGGAGGAAAGAGTATGGGCTCAGCAGTGTAGGGCTGAGGTTATTTGTATCTGGGCACATCACCTTTAGGCAGTGTTGGGGCAGCTTTGCCATCCAGCCACCTTGAGTGCTGCTTTAGTCAGGGAGCTTTCAAAGGGAGTGGGAACATCTAGGGTTACAATGTGAGCTTTGGACCTTACAGATGCTTCCCTGGTGCCCTGGCCATTGAGCTGGGCCATGAGGAGTCAGGTCTTGTTTCTGCTCTGGTCCATAGCAGGGCTCACAGCACATGGGCTGTGGGGCAGGACCCACACAGCTGCTCTGCAGCTCTGAACTGTCCTGTTGTGTGTGTGTAGGGCTCAGTATAGACAGCCAACAGGCAGGCTCTGAATTTTTCTCTGCAGTGACTCTAGGCTAGTCCTGGGTGTGAGCCTGCCTTGTCCCCAGTCCTGCCTGGCTGGAGTGCATGGGGAAGGCACCTAATCCTGTTGAGGTGTACAGTGAGGAGGGGGCTGTGAGTGTCATTTGCAACAAGGTGTCATATCTGCAGGGACTCTACATTCTTCACAGCCTGGAGGGGGCTACTGAAGAGTGTCTGGGCCCTGTACTCTGTCCCTTAAGAGGACAGGAATGGTGAGCCCCATCCTGGATCAATCTGCATAACGGCTTGCCTGGTGCAAACGGAGATACTTTCCTCTTGCATGTGATGCTGAACAACCCAGGAAGCTCCTGCAGGGGCAAGGTGAAATATGCTGTGACTCTACAGGAGAGAGATTCTTGGAATGATGGGGACACCCTGTGCCAAACCCCATGCTTCTTACCCTGGCTCCCCACGGGCACAGCTAGCCTCTGCTCCCCTGGCTGCCTCCCCTCCTGTGGGCCCTGCCTGCCACGTGACACTGTGCAACTCAAGTGGTGACATGATGGTCCCTGCTGCCAGATGGCAAGGTGTAGGCAGGCACTGCAGGGGTGAACTTGGTGCTGTGTTGATGGAGGCTCTCTCGGATTCTGCCCCGCAGGAATCGCATGCATTGCGCTGACATTCGTGGATGAGCACGGCAGCCCCACCTTGCTGCCCCACGGGGAGAGGCCTGACCCTCTGAAGCTGCCTTCCCCCTCACCCATCGTGGGCCTGCTGCAGAACAGCGACTTTGAAAGCCTCACAGCCGTCAGCAGGCACCAGCCAGGGGCTGATCCCCTGCCTTCAGGTGGGGAGTTGGCCAGCAGCTGCCAATTGCCTGCAGCCTCCACATCCCCTGGGGCACCTCGGAGGGCTGGTGAAGGCAGGGTTGAAGAACCATGCAGAACTACCCTTTCCTCACAGGGCCTTGCATGCTAGTGCGCCTGGATATCTGGGAGAAAGGCAACATCAGCCTGCTGCAGCTGTCGGAGAAGCTGCGCGGGGCCCTGCGCCACGCGCTCTGCGACGCCGTCATGGAGTTCCTTGTGCTGCCAGCCCCACTGTGTGTGGAAGCCGCCTGCCCCCTGAGCGCTGCAGAGCTGGAGGACCTGAGCTCTACGGGTGAGAGCCTGGCCAGGATGGCCACCTTGAGCCTCCACCCAGCCTTGCTCCTCCTGCCTGGCCTGCAGGAGCTTGGCTGTGCTGGGGGGAATATGGTTGGGTGGGCAAGGAGGGAGGAAGCTGCTCTCCCCTTTGCAGTATGTGTGATGTGGTGTCTTGGGGAAGAAGCATCATAGACATTGGTGTTGGAAGAAATATTTAAGAGTCTATCTGTTCCCCAAGACTGAATCCACTTTGCTGGATGTTACTGATGGTTCTTTCCCTTCTCTCCAGCCAGGTTCTGGCCAGACACAATGAGGTACCCAGCAGCTTTGCAGGGAGAGGCTCTGCAGAGTCTGATTTGCTTTGTCTCCCCAGGAGGCCTAAGGAGGACCATGTCAGAGACCAAGGGCCTGGCCCTGACCAGTGGGGGGCCTGGCAGGAGCTGTCCTCCACCCCTGCACTTCACCACTGCACCTTCACCAAGCTCTGGAGAGCCAGTGACACCCACAAACAAGCTGGGACGCCGCAGCTTCTGGGACATGCTGGTAATGTTACTGCAGGAACAGGGCCTGTAAAGTCCTCGTGCTGTGTCAGGCCATGAGGAATGGACAGTAGGGATCTAGCTGGGGGTGGGAAATCAGGCTTGCAGCAGGGATTTTGAGATCAGGGCACTGACTGGGCTGTATATGTGCACAGCATTAACTTACCTGTTTCTCCCCTAGAGCAAGGCAGAGTCCTCAGAGCTGGGCAGCCCCAAAACTACTGATGACATTGTGCTGGAGAGGCCAGAAGAGGCTCGCACGAGACGGCGGCACAAGACAGAGAATGTCAAGCAGCACCTGAGCCAGGATCGGGCCACAGCCACAGCTGAACTGGAGCAGGCACAGAGGCAAGCACAGCCTGCAGGCGGGACAGTCAGGATGTTGTTCCCCTAATCTGTTGTACATTGCTCTGCATCCTGATGGCCTCTGGACCACATTTTCTTTCCTTGTAGTTTCTCCCTTACACAGGCAGTTTAGGAAATCTGCCTTCTACACACAAAGCCCTTATTGCTGGGGTGTTGCTAGGAGCACAGCTGTTTCTCCCTGACAGATCCCTTCTCTGCACTGTGGGGCCCTGTGCAACACCTGACACTCATATGGCTACTGACCAAGAGTGACACAGCTCAAGGAATATATCAACCCAAAAAGGAGGCTCCCAGGGCTCTGCTCTGGAGCTGGGAGGGGACTGTTGCACTTCTCTACCTTCACTACAGATGACTCATCTAGTGTAACTGTGCTTCCCTTCTCTCTCCTCAGGCGCCGAGCCTGCCAGTTGGAAGAAGGAGATGCAGGTACCATGCACCCACTCTTCAATCAAACCTGCCAGCAGTGGATGGCATTCATGAACCACCTGGGTATGTGCTTCAGGTCCCAGCTCCTCCAGACAGGCTGGAAGTGGGCCTTTCTACCCAGAGCTCTCAGGACAAGTCCTCTTACAGCACCATCCATGTTCATTCCTTACTGGTCCTAGTTACATACCCTGTCTCTCCCCAAACCTCCCCAGAGACACATTGGTCAGGGCTAGCACCAGCATTAGAAAGCTGTGGCAGGAGGACTGCCATGTGCCTGTGCATCAGAACAAACCTTCTAAGGCTTGTGGTTTGGTCTGCCATGCTCCAAGTCCAGGGCTTGCTGAACTTGCCTGCAGCTGCTTTGGAGAGACCTGGACTCCAACAACCAGCTGTGATAGTGCTTTAGCTCCCAGATGTAGCAGGGATGGAGGAACTGTGCCTCTGCAACATGCTTGAGGACTGTGAAGTTGCATGGGAGACCCTCTTGCAGGGAGGGAGGGAGAGGAGGAGTACCCTTCATATGCAGGGATTTGAGGTTGTATGGATGCCATGTTGCTACTTTCTGGTTACCTTTCACTTTGATGTTTGTACATCCTCTCACACTCCTGTTGGCAAAGTGGAGCTCTCATCTTCCTCTGATGAGGAGTAAGTCAGGGAGGAAGGAATAAATGGAAGTGCTGTGCTCAGAGCATACAGGGTGTTTGGTCCAGGTCTCACTTTGAGCCAGGACCTGAAGCCAGGGGTTATTTCAGGATTCATCTTCTTGTCCATGTAAGGTTCTTGTTCTCCAGCTCTGCCCTACCTCAGGCCCTTAGCTCTCTCCACTGCTAATGTGGGCAGGATGTGGTTCTGGGGCAGCTTGGCACCTTGTCTTACAGTACATCTTCCATGCAGGGTGCCCGTCGGTGCAGCAGTGCTCCTTGGAGATGGTTTCTCGTTTCCTCCTGTCCTCCATCCTAGTGGAAGTGGTGAACCTGGTCACTGCCCTGGCGAGTGACACCACTGTCAAAGTGTTTGAGCAGATCTGGTGAGTTATGAGATTCACAGGTGGCTGCTGATCAGCTATACTTCTACTGCCACAGCTCTACTTGGTAGCCACCTCTGGGGCTTATCTTTGCAGCTACCATCGGGGCACCGCCTTCCTGCCCTATAAGTCTGGTCAGAATGCCAGCCCTTGCCCTGGAGTCATCAGACACTTCATCCTGCTGGGACGCAACTTCCAGCAGTGGCGCTGCAGCACAGAGCAGGGTGAGTGCCTGGCCATGGTCCCTGGGACTGTGCTGGAGTCTTTTGTAGGGGGACATCAATGAACAGGATCCCCTCTTTACTGGGACAGACTGCTTGTGCCCAGAGGTGGGCAGTGGGTTGTGTGGTTTTACCTTCTGAGACCTTACTTTTGAATGTGCTTGTAACAGCTTATTTCAAGACAAGCTGAGCAGTACTGTGGCAAAACATCCTGTCATGCCACCTTGATGGCATGGCAGGACATAAAAGTGGGATGAACCAGTACTGAGGGTCATAACTCTGGCTTCTTCCAGCTCACAAAGGGCTCCAGCGCTTTGAGGCCATGGAATTCAGCTCAGCAGAGAGAGGCTCTGATCCCAGCCTTGTTGGTCGAGATCTGGTGCCCCGGCAAAGGTTCCTTTTCATGGAGATCATTGACAAAAAGGTAGTAATGGCTGTGGCTGTTAACAGGGGACTGTAATTGAGGTGTTGCCATGTTCCCTGTTCCAGCCTTGTCATCTGAAACTGGCTGCAGCTGCAGCAAGTACCACTGGCACACCCGTGGCAGCCTGTGCCACCATGTCCTTAAGTCTTCCTCCCATTCCTCTCTCTCCAGCTGACTCTCTACACTTACAACTGGTCCCCAGACCTGGGGGCCAACTTGAACTGCTCCCTGACACGCCTGCTGCAGTGGCAGAATGCCCGGTCCCACATCGTGCACTGCCTGATCAGCCAAAAGCTGGGACTCTTCCACCACCACTGCTTCATGGACACACCATGGCATGAGGACAGCAAGCAGGTAGGGCACCATGCCAGGCAGGGCAGTCCTTTCTTCTTCAGGAAGGGCCTTGGCAATCTGGGGGTCTGAGAAAGTTTGCAAGCAACTTTTGTGTGCTGATTGGTAGGGCATCCCCAGACATTCACATGTTCAACTTGACCATTTCCAGCCAGACTGTTGCCCTGCTCTTGGAGACAGGTGGAAAGAGAAGCCAGGTCCTTCTGCTAACTGGCAGCAGTTATTGATGACTGAATTACTTAGGTTGAGGCTGAGGAATGGGTTTCTCACTTCACATTAGAGTCATGGTGGGCCCAGATGCTCTCTTCTTGGAAGTGGCAGTGGAAAAGGCTAACAGAGATCTCAGCAGAGGGCCAGAATTGGATGTACTCTGTGGGTTCTTGCTCCAGGGTTGGCAGTAAGGAGGCTTTCATTGCTGTGTCTGTTTGCTTAGGAGCCAAATCCTTTCCTGAACTCCACTTTGGAAGTGGATGCGCTGATCCGGAGCCCCTGTCCCCCGCCCAGCAAGGAGCAAGGCAGGCTGAGCAGCTCTGCCCGCAGCCTCCCGCCCCTGCACTTCCATCCTGACGTGGTGCCCTTTGACGAAGCTCTGCGGGATGTTACCACCATCAGGCGCATACCCCATGGGCCTGACTTGGGATATTTTGATCCTGTGGCTCAGCATGGGGCCCAGTTCCTGGAAATCAAGAGCATGGAGAGGAAAGGTAAAGCAAGGGGGCTGATATCATGAGAGCCTGCCTAATAATCTCACTTCTGGAAAAGGAAATCAGAGCGGAACAAGAGTTTTGTCAGGCAACAGTTCTCTGTGGGAATGGGTTATGGCCTGTTCAGGGTGGGAGTGAAGGAGAGTAGCAATACCTGGGGCTGTGGCTTGATGCTCTTGTGACTGTTGTCTTTCCTTCAGAACTGGAGAAACAGATGAAGATTGAAAACCTCTTTGTCACCTGGCAGCAGAGATCAGCTCAGTCCAACATGCCTATCAGTGTGAGTGCAGCCTGGGCAGGTGGTGGGCTGGGCCTTCTTACAGCACGCTGGGAGCACCAGCAAAGGGAAGCACTGCAGCTCTGAGCAGGATGCATAGTGGGGCTGGTGCTAGGCAGCGGAGCAGTGGTCTCTGCCTGAACTTTTGGGGTTGCAGGACTCTGAACCATGCTTGGGCATGAGGCCTCACTGCCCAGCACTGGAAAGGCTGTAAAGCAGGGGATTCCCCCAGTAAATCTCCATTTGAGCAGTATTGTGGTGTCATGGACAAACTTGTTCCCAGCCTCAGTGAGGGGTGTGTGCTGTAACCATGCTCCTCTCGTGTTGTGCAGCTGGCAGACCTGGAGACTTTGAAGCAGTCCTCACGCCTGGTTCACTACTGTGCCACCCCCTTGCTCTTTGACCCGGCCTTCCGGCAGCAAATCCAGACTGACCAGCTGGGCAAGGTAGAGGGGAAGGTGAGTGTCAGCAAGCACCAGTGGGGTTGGGCTTTGTGCACAGGGACAAAGGAACGGTCTTTTCCCAAGACAGGGCTGCTTGGGCCTCACTCCTAAAATACAGGATGAATTTGAATGCTGTAAGGTGTAGACTGAGAAAATCCTTGGGTCCTCAAAGCTTTTCTCCTGCAGCCACACTAACCCTAGAGAAGACCGATTTCCTTGTCTACCCAGGGAATTCAGGGATGAGTCTGGAGAAGCCATCAAGGGTGCTGTCTGGTACTGATCTGTAAAGGAGGCAGAACTTCCCTTATGCATTCAGCAGCCAGACCTGGTAAACCTTTCCTGGACCAAACAAGTAGCCAAAACAATTGAAAGCAAACCAGCTGAATCCTGAGCAGGTTGCAGCCTGACAGACAAACCAGTGCAGATCCCATACCGGCTGTTCACAGTCTGCATGTGTGTCAGAAGGGAAGAACAGGCTGTTGTAATTTATCAGAATGTCAAAAGGATTTTGACAGTCTTTAAACAGAGGTTGCTACAGAAATTGAACACTTACAGATGAAAGGGAAAATATCATCACAAAATGAAAACTTAACTTAGTTTTTGGAACAGAGCAAAATGGAAATTGGTTATTGGACTTGAAGGGCCTTGCAGCAGGGGTTTCAGGGTGGTGTATTAGGTTCTGTATCTCCAGGTCTTTTATGGGGATGTATGAGATGGCAGGCTTTGCAGTGCTGGAGGGCTGTTCAAATTGGTCAGAACAGAAAAAGAATGCAAGGAACTCAAGAGGCACCTGTGAAATGAGAGCTTTTGTGGGAGCTGGGACCTGGTTCCCAATAAAACAGCACAATGTGGAGAGAAATTTGAACCCTCTTGTATTGTACACTCACTGCAGAGCCTGTGCACAGCACACATCTCAGTGCTCAATTTGTGAGCAGTTGGGTACAGCAGACACTGGTTAGAGTACATCAGAAAAGGGTGTTAGTATAATGGGTAATATTCTAATAAATTCCTAAAATACTAGTGTATTAATGTCTTCATCTGGGCAGTAAGTGTCAGACCAAACATCTTGTGGCAAAGGCACTGAACTGGAAAGACTTGGAGAAGGTCAGAGAGGAGCTGGAGAGATGCCAGGTAAAGAGACGTCTCTTGCACTTGGTGGAGCAGATAGGCAGAAAGCCAGATGGAAACATGTAACAGAGCTGTGGGCTTAAAGTAGAGAGATCAAAAAAGAAACCTTAGTCTCTCTCAGCATGAAGAAAAGGAGTATTCAGGACATCAAAAGGAGAACTGAAAGTGTTTAGAAGGAAACACTGTTTCTTTTCAGTGCTACTGAACTGCCAGAAAATCCTGAGAAGTCAGCAGCATTCATAAGGGGATTGGGCTCTTACTGTGGCATTAAGAGCTGAAGCTCTGAGCTTTGTATGAACCAGTTGTGAGCCACTAACACTTTGTGGAAGCGTTCTGGGGAAGTCAGATGTGAATGCTGGCACAGGCAGCAGGTTCCTGCAGGTTATTGCAGCGCTGTTAGGTCAGTTCATGGCTGGGTAGATCTTGGATCTTGCTTTTTGACATATGCACTAGGACAGTGCTTGGACAACCAGATGTTAGATGCTCTCTGGCAGGAAGAGATCTACCTTTTGCTCAACCAGGGCACCTGGTGTCCTCTGCTGGGGCTAGTCCCAGCAGTTCTTCTTAGCAACTTTCTCTTGCAGAAGCGCCACCGCTCCAATGACTCCACAGCTTCGGGGAGGGACCGCAGCCACAGCTGTGACTCGGCAGAAGCACTGCCCTGCAAGGTGAAGGAGGAGCCATGGCTGCAGGAGATGTGCAATGCCTTCCTGCAGCAGTACATCCAGTACCTGCAGAGCATGGGCTTCATTCTGGTCCAGGTGCGGCCACCCTCACCTACCACTCGCAGGTCAGTGATGTGTTGGGAATCCTGGTGTTGGAGAAGAGCCAGCACACTGAGCTGGGCCCTGCTTTGACACAGTAGGTCTTGGCTCCCTGCTCAAGGCTGTCTCTGCTCTCATTTCCAGCAGCGCAAGCCGCATCCGAGCTCTAGCAGCAATGGGAGTGGAGGGTAGAGGGTCCTTCTCCTACACAAAGCCAAAACCAGAGGGAAGTCCAAAGGTGAGTGCATTTCTGTTACAAGGGTGGAACTGGGATGGAAGTCAGGCTGTGGAGTATGCCAGTTCTGGCTAGCTTTTAAAACTGTTTCAGGCAGAAAGGATGTGGGAGGGCAGAGAAAGCATCAAAGCCAGCCTGTCTAGACCAGCACCATCTTAGAGAGTTTAGGTATGAGATGTCTTTGCCCTCCTGCATGTCTTCCTACAAGGGCCTCAGAGCCCTTTCCTGACATTTGGTGGAATCAGGGCAAATATTAAGACTGGTAACGACTTGGAAGGGCTCAGAAGAGGAACAAGATGACCTAGGGCAAGGATAGCTGCTTTGGGGTGAGATTCTGAAGGATTACTTGTCAGAGAACCTCCAGCATTCATGCTTAAGGGCAACTCTAGGGCAGAAGGATCTTTAGTTATAGTGAGATGAATATGGAAGTTAAAGAGGTTAGAAAATATAAGCCTGGAATGACTCTACTGTGAGAGCAGGCTGAGGTTCCTCATGTATAAAGAAGTGGCAGCTAGGGAGGAACAAGTTGGAGCTCTATAATATTGCAGCTAACCTGGAAAGGGATTGACCCTTTCCTGTTTTATTCAATACAACACCTAGAGACCATCAAATGAAAGTATTTGGAGCCAGTTTGAAACTAAGGAGAGTGTTTCTTTGAGAAGCAGGTTTTACGAACACATGAGTCTTGTGAATATGAGCTTACAAGACCGAATAAGTACGTACCTTGAAGAGGAATCTGTTGGAGTCTCTATCTAACTACCCATGGCTTGTGGAATCACCCAGGGATGATGGGAGCATGTAGCATTTACTCACTCTTTTCTGACACTTAATTGGCACCTGCCTTTGGCTGATGTTACTGCAGGGCTGGATAAGACAACACCTTGCAGATAAAATGAGAAGAGAGCAATCTGCTGAGCAAGTTAAGAGGGAGCAAATGAATTTGCTGTCAGCTAAATTCTGAATTGAGACAGGATGTCTCTGATAGCTGCTGTATCAGGCAGGCACAATGGTCTGAGGACACCACAGCAGGGAGTGAGGTTCCATGGACACTGTTGTTCCTTGGCTCACAGCGTCCCACACTCTAAGAGACACCCTGTCCTGAGCAAGGAGGAGGTGAAGGGATCAATGTGTCTGGTGTATTCTCTCAAAGGCTGTTTGTTAGGTTTGTTAGGATTCTTCCCACTGTCAGCTCTGCCATATCTTCTCTCTTCTCTCCTGTGAGATTGCTCACTTGATGAGGCCCCTCTATTTCTGCCTCTGCTACAGAGTCTTGTGGCAGCTTTGCACCTTTTGTGTGCCAGAGAGCCTCTTCAGCTTTGTCCTTCTCTTCACAGAGCACAAGCCCTGCTGTTGCCACGTACCACCTACAGAGAGCCCTTCCAGGTGGGATTGTGCTCATGGAGTTGGCCTTCCAGGTAAGAAAGAACAAGAAACAGAGCATATCTCTCAGGGATCTTCAGGTACAGTCTTCAGAGGTGACAAAGGGAGTGATGAGGAGTGCAGCAGGGACATGTGATTTTTCATTCGTCTGTCCTGTTTCTTCCATGGTCCTGAAAGACTGGGATCAGCTAGAAAGGATTGTGCAGGTCTCAGAGAAGTAAGAGTTGCCTGGGGAAGGATAATGAAGAGCTCAGCACCAGTTAGGGTGCTCTGTGCTCAGCCACATGTTGGCTGGTCTGGCTTGTTTCAGACAAGGTGAGACAGAATGTGGGGTGAGAGTGTCTGGGCCCCAGCCCAAGCATGAAGTGTGAGGGCTGTGCTCCTTCCCTGGAGACCCCCAAGGCTGTGTTCTGCTCTGTTCACATGCTCTCTTCTCTCTCTTTCAGGGCTGCTATTTCTGTGTGAAGCAATACGCGCTGGAATGCTCGCGCATCCCCATGGGCCAGTCCGTGAACTCTCAGGTAATGGCTTTGCAGGTACAGCTGGTGCTCCTCAGGGTCAGGGGATGCTTCGTGGGGAGGAGTGATCTGTGGAACATAGTGGGCATTTCGGGCACAGCAAGTTCTAGAGAGCTCTGCTCCTTCCTCGTGGAAAAGCAGAGCCTCGCAGAGCCTTCTGCAGCCACGTGCCCTCCATGGCGCTGCTTGAGCAGAGCTGGATTGCAGCAAAAGGGGGTGCAAGGCTTGACAAGAGGATGACTCTTGTCCTAGCTTGGAGATCAAGACAGAGCAGACTGGAGAGGAATAGGAGCAATTCTGGCAAAGATCCTTGCTCCAAGGAGAGTCAGTGCATGGCTCTCTGCTTCCCTTGGAATGAAGAAGGAAGCGGAATGGGAACAGGGATCTGTGAACATAATTCCTGCCCTTTGCTAGAGGAGAAGTTATTTTCTGCACCAGAAAGGTTCCTTTATACCTCTGTGCTGCACTCTACAGCACTGTGAGGCTGCCTGCTCCCTTCTCCTTTGTAGGGTCAGGGTGTCTCCTGCCGGTTCCCAAGGGCACTGGGTGTCTGTGCAGAGGCTAGCCAGCCCCAGGCTGTCTGAGACAGGATGCATGCATGACCATACTGTCCTTTCCAAGGGAGCTCTGTAGCAAGGCTGCATCTTAGATATGCCAGGGGTGTCTCTGCTAAGCTTAGAGCTTTCCAGGACTTTGTCTGCAGATTTACTGAGCCGTTCCTGGAAAGCTTGCACATGCACAGGGCAGTGATATGAGGCTGCATCCTGCTCTGATGCTGGGACAGCTGCACTGGCTGTGCCATGCCTTGTCAGCAGGGCTTTGCAGGAGGGTGTGAGGTGCCTGGTAAGACTCCTGCCTTGACTCCCTGTCCCTCCACAGTTGTCTATGCTCTTCACGGAGGAGTGTGACAAGGTGCGGGACCTCATGCACGTGCATTCGTTCAGCTACGACTTCCACTTGCGCATAGTTCACCAGTATCTGCTGGGCTCCCACATGACTCTCCGCCAAGGCTACCATCTCACCAGCTTCCTGGAGGATTTCATTGCCCATCACCCTGACATCCCCAAATTTGGTCGTAATCATGTTTTCCAAGGTATGTAGGTCGATATATGATCAGTCTGGGATTGATCACCAGCACATAACTTGGCAAAAGTCCTTTACAAATAAACCTTTGGAGTATTCAGGGATATGACAGGGTGAGGGTGATGGGAGGGGCTGAGCTCCAAGGAAAGTCCTTGTTGCCCTGTTGTAGAAGGGGCAGGTTGGTTGCTCTGTGTTCTGGAGTAGATGGGAAGACACTGCTGGGCCCAGGTAAGAGGCACAGAGTGTCACCTTTGATAGCAGTGTATTTTTCCACTAGGCACGCTGGCCCTGCCCACCAATATGATCACTGCACACCAGCTGTACAACTACATTGCTGACCATGCCAACACCTACCACATGAAACCCCTGCGCATGGCCCGGCCAGCCACGGGCAACGACAGCAAGAAGGGAACACCAGGCACAGAGCAGAACGAATATGCACTGGTCTCTATTTGGAACAGGTGAGTGCATCTGCTGCAAGTTCTTGGAGCTGCTGGAGGTTGGTGGCAACCTGCCAGTCCTGGGGACATTACCCCAGCCGGCAAAGCTGACTGTTCTCACCAGTCAAAGGCCAGTCCTTCTGAGATGGTCAACAGGGTGTATGTGTGCAGGTGCATTTGACATTTCCCGTGGCACTTCTGAGGAGTCCTGCTGTGTGGAATTCCCCATGTCCAACTGTTCTGTTGTGATCAAGAGCCCTGGGAGAACAAAGTGAGGCTTCCTTCATACTGATGTGCTTTTTTATCCCAGCTCGGGCTCCTACAAGGACTCTGAAGGTCTGCGTCATCATGATGACTTTGATGTGTCCCTCCTGGTTTGTCACAGTGCGGCACCATTTGAGGAGCAGAGTGAGGCAGAGAGACGCATGCTCCGGTGAGCATTGGGCACCAGTGACAGCAAAGCTTCCTGGCTGGGGAGGAGGGCTCTGGGAGAGATGGTTCTGTCTGGACTAGCATAGGCAGAGTTGTTGGTGTCTGGGGAAGATCACTGTGAGAACCTGGGCAGAGAAGCACCCTTTCTGGCAGGGATAGAGGGGCCTGTGGTTCATTTGCAGTGCAGCTGAGAGGGGAGCAGCCCTTCCCAGGTCAACAGTGTCTCCTTGCTCCCAGGTTGCGTTTCTACGTCATCATGACAAGCCAGCGGGAGCTCTTTCCACGGCTCACGGCCGACATGCGACGCTTCAAGAAGCTGCCGCGCTTGCAGCGGGAAGTGCTGGAGCCTGTGGTAGGCCGGGCAGCCTGGGAGGCAGTGGAGCCGGAGCCGAGCCTGGACCGGCAGCCGTCGGCAGAGCGGGAGCTGTGGCAGGACGTGGAGGACAGCAGCGAGTTCTACGCGGGGGGCACGCAGGTTAAACTGGGGCCAGGGCTCTTCTACACCTCTCCACTCTTCCCCTTGCTGGCCTCTGAGGTGGCCTCAGCCCAGAAGCAGCTCAGCAGCATGGTGCAGCTGGCCAAGTGCCACTGCCGCAGGGACAACCTCTGGAAGCGCCTCTTCCTTCTGGAGCCTCTGGCTTCTGACAAGCTGAAGCTGGGCAAGCTCTCGCTGGTGGAGCTGGAGGAGCTGCTCGATGCCGTGCATGGGAAATCCATCGCAGATGTCGACCCCCAGCTGGTGAGCAGCAGGAATGGGGGCACAGTGCACAGCAGCTGCTATTCTGATCTGGGGGTGGAGTGAGGTGCCAGGTGAAGGAGCCTGCAATGCCCATCTCTTTGTGCTTGCTGGGAAGGTAGAGGCAGGAACACAGCTCCTAGCTGGCACGGGAAGGGGAAGACTGCATTGATCTGTCTATAGAGAGTGAACAGCCCTCAGTCAGCATCCTCAGTGGGCTGGGAGGGTTGCATCTGATTTGGGGTCTGAAGGCTGCTGTAGCATTATGGCTGCTGGTGCCATGGCTAGAGGGAGGCTGAAGATCAGGCCTTTTCTATGTCTTCAGGAATGCTTCCTCACCATGACAGTCTCCTGGTACCAGAGCCTCATCAAGGTGCTGTTGAGCCGCTTTCCCCAGAGCTGTCGGCACTTCCACAATGCTGAAACTGGCACCCAGTATCTGGTAAGACACAGCCAATTGTCCACCTGCAGCCTCTGTCCCTGTGTCCCTGTCCTGGGTTCTGTACTGGCTCCTTTCTAACATGCTCTATGACTCTCCTGACAGGTTGTGCTCAACCAGAAGTTCACAGATTGCTTTGTTCTTGTGTTTCTTGATTCTCATTCAGGAAAAACGGTGAGTCCTTGGCAACAGAACAACAGCTATGTTGGCTCAGGCCAGGAATCTGTCTAGATTGATCCAGTGGTGGCCAAGGGCAGGTGTGCATGAGAACATGACCAGGTCAAGAAGCCTGTAATGCTTCTCCAAAATACTGTCCCAGCATCTGAAAACCTGTAGATTAGGCCCATCCTCAGCTAGAAGTGGCCTTTGCATTTATTTAATAGCCCTTCCACAGCTTTATTTCCTTTCGTTAATTTCTGGCATCCATGATTTCCACTGACTTGCAGCTCCATGAGGCAGTTGCAGTCTAGGTGAAGAAGTTCCTTGGCTTATTTTTGAAGTTTTTGCTGTTCTTTCTATGTGATGCCCCTTTGTTCTTGTATTAGAAAACAGTGAGCACTTGATCCTCTTTTCCTTCACAGGATTGCTTTTGGATCATTTTCTTAGCTGTCTCTCTATCCAGGCTAAGCAGTCCTTCTGTATTCAGTCCAAAGTCAGATCACACTGGGTCCGGCTGGGAAGGGTCACCGGTGCTGTGGGCTGCTCCTGCCTGGGCAGAAAGGAAGGGGACCTGCACTGTCAGGGTCCCAGCAAGCCTGCAAGGGCCTTTGCCTTCACTGAACGAGGGTACAGGATGGGTCACAGGGAATGCAGCTCCATGTGAGAGCAGGGGATCTACAGGAGGATTCAGTCCACAAGTCTTCTGCAGAGACTGCAGAGTAACTGATGTTGTATAAAATAAATCATGCTCCATCTGAAAAGCAGGTAGGGGAGACAGAAGAGGCGGTGCTCAGTGCTTCCTGCCGCCTGATGGTCATAGTGTCACCTTGTGGTCATTGATATGATAAACCCAATAAACCCAGACCCTCCATTCCTTCTCCCAGTGACTCTCATTTTTTAATAGAAACCCTTTGTTTTCATAACATTTTATTTTGTGCTTAGTGTTCATCCCATTCTTGTGGCCTCTCAAAACTCTCTCAGGGTTGTTTTGTTTGTTTGTTTGGTTTGGTTTGGTTTTGGTTTTTTTGCATTATCCCAATCCTCTTTTGTATTAGTGTCTCAAATTTTATCAGCATACTCCTCGTCTTTGTACCAGACAATTGTTAAAGTACTAGGGAATGTGAGCCCCAAAGCCTGTCCTGAAGGAGCTCTATCTGTAACCTCTCTCCATTTCCCTTTTCAGCGCTGCCATGTTCTCCCTTTATAATTTTTGAGTTAATTCTTATCTTTTCAGCTTACCTAAATTTCCCCTGTGACACTACATCAAATCCTTCCTGAATCTCAGATAAGATGTACCATGATTCCATTGTCTAGAAATACTACTTTATCAAAGAGAATTTTAGCATTAGCACATCATTTTGGTACCACTGAGCTGCGTTTCCCTCATGGTTCTGTCTCCCCCAGTCTGCTCTGAAGCCTTGCATGCTGCTGGAGTTGGGCTCACAAATCATTTCCTTTCCCCTCTTAAATGATGGTGGTACATTCACTGTTTTCTACTCACACAACTCTTCTCATGGCTTTACCAGTTTGTAAGGGACCCTGGCTACTGGTTGTGCTGTATTTCAATTCTGGAGAACTCCTGTCCCTGTGTCTTGCCTCCATAATGCTGATCTGAGTGCACTGAGTCACATTTTCATTCTGCTTCAGCTTCTGCAACCTCTGCCTACTCCCTTCTCCCCTCTGCCTTTGCTCTGCCTTTTCAATACAGTCGCTAGTCCGAGCGGAGCAGGCAGCATTTATTTTTAGGGTTGCGGTTATTACATTTAATCTCCTCCCCTTCCCCATTTGTTGCACTCCTACTCTTTCCCTTAGAAGAAGAATTTTCCCTCTAATTTCCCTAGAAGCTCCTGGTACTGTGGAGGCAGTAGGATCCCCTCCTCTCCTGTGGTTGCTGCCAGGATTGGCATAACTGCAGATGCATAAAAGCTGGAACAGAGTGGGCAAGTCCTCACACTGAATTTCCAGCAGAAAAATTGGGAGGAGGCTCAAACATGCTGTCACAGGAAGAGCCAGTTTAATGCCATGGGCATTTTGGGACTACTCCCAGTATTTGCCTAACACTGCCAAAAAAGTGTCCACACACCTGGGCTAGGGACTGCACAGCGCTTGTCTGCATCCTGTCCCCTGACCCTCTCCTCCCTCTTGGCAGAGCCTCACCGTGGTTTTCCGGGAGCCATTCCCAGTGCAGCCCCAGAACAGCGAGAGTCCTCTGCCACAGCTTGTGTCCACGTACCATCACCTGGAGTCAGTCATCAACACTGCCTGCTTCAACCTGTGGACGGGCCTGCTCTAGCACTGGCACCCACGTCCTGGAACAACGCGTATTCCGACTCGGCACGGCCGTGCTATTGGTGACCATGGGGAGGAACAGGTCTCTGGGGGCACCTGTGCGTGGGCACTGCAGGCAGCACTGCCAGTGGCGCACATGGCTACTGACCCAAGGAGCCTGGGGATGTGCACCTCATCGCTGGCTGGCTGGTACAGCCCTTGTGTGCTGTTTTCAGTGGGTTTGATACTGAATGGCCCTGAAGCAAACAGCAAGGGCAGGAACTTGGCTGCTGCAGCCTAGCTGAAGCAGAACAACTCTCAGGGACGTGGCTTTGGCATCCACAGGTGAGTTCTGCCTGCTGGGAAGGCACTGAGGAGCATGCACAGCACCATCTTCTGCCCAGGGTAGCACTGCACAGTGCTCTGCTTTAGGAGGAAAGACTCCTGACTGGAGGGCTACCTGACTGGCAGTGAGGATAACTGTTTCTTTTGTTTTCCTTGGGAGAGCATGAATGGGATAGGAAAGGTGAACTGGATCACAGGAAGGTATTATAGAGGTGTACATTTGAGCCATTGTTCTATCTGTGAAATAAACTGAACCAGATCCCTGCTCAGTTGCTGTAGGCTGTGGAAAGCTGCCTGCAGAGGATCCAGAGCAGCCCTGGCTGCTTTGGAATCTTACACTTGCTCCAGAGCAGGAGCAGCAAGACAGTCAGCCTTGAGTATCCATTCACAGGCAGGTCCCAGCCTGTTACCTTGGAATGGACAGCATGGGAGGGGACTGCTTGCTTCACTTGCAGCCCTGCTTCAGAGTCAGTGCTGGGTACTGGCAACAGCCTTGAGAATTTCAGTACCTAGAAGTCAAGAGTGTTCTTTCCACAACTTCAGGTACCGGCTGGAACGCTCCCCTTAGTGGGGAGACTGGAAACCTCTCCCTGGACACCCCTGCAGCCTGGAAGTGAAAGTTTTCTGTGTACCTGAAGTTACCTACAGTGGTGCCTGAGCCATCACTAAATCGAACATGCTGCAGGTGGTACTTGTGTAGATGAGGGTCCAACAGTTTGGGCTGGCCCAGTAGAGCCTGGGGAAAGGGAATGACATAGATTTCATAAACTTCATTCTAGGAAATCGTCCCACCCACCACACTCCCCTAGTCCTGGAGAAGACACATGCTCTGTTAAGCCATTGCTTTGTCTTTTATTCTCATGGTTTTCTAGTTTTACTTGGCTGCCTTGCTGGTCCCACCATGCTGCAGCCCTCGGCTTTCCCAGTAGGATCGCAGCCAGCCCAAACCTTCCAGGGTGTCTCCTGCAGTGACAGACAAGGCTTCCTGCTGCAGCTGGAGAAGCTGGAGCAGCTTCTGTTAAGGACAGAGCCCTCATTCCCAGGTCGGGATGACGCCCACTCCCTGCACCCCCCAGGACCTGTTTCCACAGTACCCAGCCAGCTGCTCTGTGCTTGGACCTGCCCATGAGGCTCACACCTGCAGGCCTACTCACCCTTCGGAGCATATTCACACCCTACATAGCCAGTGTAGCCAAGGGACTCCAGGAGCTCGAAGATGTAGGGGAAGTTCAGCTCCCCAGGGCTATCGGGCTCGTGCCGCCCTGGTACCTGTGCAATCTGGATATGACCTAGGGAGGGAAGGGGAGAGGCCATGCCCAAGGCAGCTCTGCCTACAGCCTTCTTTAGCTATGAGACAAGACCCAAGAGCAGCCCCACACCCCCAGCCAGCTGCAGCAGAGCCTGGAGCAGGAGGGCCCCCTCTCAAAGCCACTCCTGCCCAGTGGCTGCAGTGGAATTGGTCTGGGTGGGCACAGGGTGTTACCGATGAGTGGGAAGTACGTCTCCAGATTGCGTGACAAATTGCCATCCATGATCTGGCAGTGAAAAAGGTCCTGGGGGCAAGAGAGGAAAATGGAGGGTGCAGCTGTTCAGCAGTGAGCAGTTAAGGACAGCTGTGCTATGGTCCCTGTCCAATGTCCCCGAGAAGGCATATTAAGCCCATGGCCACCGAACAGTTTTGTGGACCTGTGAGAGTTTCCCTCACAGAGAGCTTCAATGCTGACTCACCAGCTGCAGCTTCAGGTTGGGCCGTCCCACTTTCTCCAGGATGGCAGCAGCTAAGGGGGCAAGAAATGAGAAACCATTGCCCCCAGTGTGGAAGGGTTTGCAGAGAAGCCCCAGGACCCCCTTTATGAACTGTGCTCCCTCAGCATCTCCGTCCTGGTGAGGCAACCTCCTGCCTTTCAGACTTCGGCGATCCTTCTCCTCCTCAGACGGAGACTCTTGGTGTCTGCCTTACCTTGGTGTGGCGTGTTCAGATAGTAGCGAGGGTCAGTGATGCGGTTGTTAATAGGCTCCAACAGTCCAATCATGTTTTCCTGTAACACAGCACTGTCACCCTGCGGAGCATCCTGACATCTCTGCAGCAGGAAGCATAACTTCCCCATGCCATGCTGGTGGGGTATTCCCCATCTTGGGTATCCTAAGAGCTTCACCCACAAAGCAAGACCCATTCCCCACCTACCTGGGACAGGAGGTCAGCAGTGTATCTGAGATTCTCAATGAAGGTGGTTTCCATCTCACCTGCCACTGCAGCCCGGTCTGTGCCCAGGGGAACCCGCCCAGCCATCACATGAATCCTACAGGCACAGAGAGGTAATCACAGGCACCACCTGCAAGCTGCTGGCCTGATCTAATACACCTTCCTCTGCTGATGGAAAAGGGGGCCAGGCCGGGGGAGCAGACACAGAAGGGGGCAAGAAGAGCCATCTCCTGCAGGAGGCACAACAGCAGCCAGCAAGCTGCCAACCAGGACACAAATATGCACCATCCCACCTGAATACACAGAGGGATGACTTTGAACCTTTGCCTGACAAATCACAGACCTTGCTTCTTCCCTCTTGTGAACTGCTTTCAGCTCTTTCACCCTGACGCTAGAGCTTTCTTGGGCTCGCTCTTGTTGGGAGACCCCAATCCAGCATGTGGGCAACTGGAGTGCTGCTTCTTCCAGGGGCCTGCCATGCATGGTGTCACTGCTTGCTGGCTGTGAGCAGGGAGGGGACAGTGCCCCATACTAGACTGCCCTGCCATGAAGAGCTCAAGCGCCAGGCCACCTTCAGCCACCATTGGGGGAAGGTGAATGGTAGAAACCTTTTCAATGTGCCTGTACCAGTGTGCAGATGGTGCTGCGCAGCCTTTGGCCTGCCTAGCCCATGCCCTCCACAGGGCTTTGGACTGAGTTGCAACAGGAAAGAATGGTGCAAAGAAAGTGGAATAAAAGGGCCCTGTTGGTTTTCTGAAGGGAGCTGTGCCAGGCTAATTGCATCTTTTACGGTGTCTCTGCTGTGCTGGAGTCAGCATGGCCCTCAATAAAGCAACTGTTGTGGTGTCCTGGTGGAAACGACTGGTGCAGTTGGGGAGGAAAAAGGGAGGATTATCCTGGGGGACTGTTGTGTGGGGGTGGGAACAAGAGCCTCTACTGCGAAGGGCAGGGTCAAGCTCGTGCCCGGCAGCTCTGGGTCCGCCCCCAGCGAACAGGCCGAGGGCACGGCCCCGCTCAGCGAGGTCTGCCCGGAGCTGGCTCCGGCCCAACGCAGCCGAGCAGGAGGTGCTGCCCGGGAGAGGCTCCGTGACGGCGGCGGGAGGCACCGCAGGACAAAGGGCAGGCTCCGCTCGGGGGCAGCGCTGGGGCAGGAGGGGAGCATGGGAAGCGCCCCCGGCAGCCGCGGGGCCGGGGCCGGAGCGGGGGTCCCGCCTCGCACCTACCTGGGGCAGCCCACAGCCCTGGCGTAGTGCACGGCCGCCTCCAGGCCCTGCCGGAAAGCTGCCTGCCGCCCGGGCACGGCCGCCAGCCCCAGCTCGCCCGCCTCCTGGTCCCCTGGGAGAGAGCGGCAGGGTCGGCGGAGGGTGCTCGCTACCCCACATACATGGGGGAGCAGCGGGACGCGGCCGTACCGGGTGGGGTGTTGAGGAGCGCGATCCTCACCCGCGCCCGCTCCGCCGCGGCCCGCAGCTCCTGGGCCGGACAGCCCGCCGGCCAAGCCGCCTCCACCGCTCCGAACCCGGCGGCGGCCGCCGCTTCCAGCCGCGCCGGCAGCGCCGGGAGCTCCGGGAAGAGCCACGAGAGGTTGGCGGAGAAGCGCAGCGCCATGGCGGGCGGGGCGGGGCGGGCCTGGGCGGTGCTCCCGCGGCCACTCCGGGCACCGCCGCCCGCCCCGGCCCTCCCGCGGAGCGCAGCGAGCCCCCAGCGGCTGGGCCGGTGCTGGGCTCAGCCCTGCGGGCGTGCGGACGGCTCCGGGACGTGCCCGCGGCCGTGGGTGAGCGGCCCCGTGACACGCGCGGGGCTTCCGGCTGCGCCAGAGGCTCTGCGGGACAGGGCCGTGCTGGGGGCGCGTGGTCGGAATCCGCTCTGGGAAACGGGGTTTTGCCAGGTGTTGGCCTGACACACGCAAAGCGCCCTCTTAATTGGTTTCCTGGGGAGCTTGTATCTGACAGCGTCTCATTATGCGAGAAACGCTCTCTCCTTTTGTCCCATGCTCTGCATATCTTAGCATAAAATGTTCATCTCCACTCCTGCAGAGCCGTGGCTCGGGCGTGCAGGAGTGTGACCCCGGCGGTGGCCGCGGGCAGCCCCGCGCTCCCGCTCCCCATTCCCCGCGCTCTGTGTCCCCAGGGGCACTCGCAGGCTGCACGGGTGGGGTGCCTGTCCTGTCCTGCCCATGGCTGGGGGCTGTGCCGTGGCTGACAGAACGGGTACCGTGAGCCGTGGACATTTTGCAGTCCCTTGTGTTCAGTTTGTTCCTGGCGGCTCCTACTCCGTGCCGGGGGAGTCCTGCATGGTCCGACTCCTCTGTCACTGCTGCAGCAGCCTGCAGCCCCAGGCAACTGCGAGCCCCAGGAATTCGCTGTGCTTTGGGAGCCCAGCCTGGGCAGAGACCAGCAGGTTTTTGGTGGGGGGTGAGGGCAGTGAAGCTACCCACTATGGAGTCTCAACTCAATTAAAGCTATTGATTAATCAATTAGAAGAGGCTTGACTCAATTTCCCAGTAATAATCCAAACTGTCAATCGCAGGGAGTGGCATCCATGTTCTCGGGATGCAAAGGGCCAAGAGATGAAAAGCCTCCCCACAGCATCCAGCACCAACCCAGCCCCGCCTCCCCACCTGTGTTCCCAAGACCAGCGTATCCCCATGACAGCGATGCCCTGAGCCCCATCAGCCCTGCTGGGGTGTCCCTGCCAGCTCCCCTGGCAGCTCCCCTGGCTCCCCTCAGGCTTTGCTGAGTGATGTGACCTGGCTGGCTGCATGTGCACCCCCAGCTCTTCTCCTTACCCAGCACCCATGTCCCCAGGACACGGACTGCTCTCTGCCTGCAGCTGCCGTGCCAGGGGAGTGCTGCACCTTATACACATCCTGTGGCCTCACAGGACATGAACCTCTGTGGTGCACAGGGCTTGTCATCCTCTTCAGTCTTTTCCAGGAGGCACCTGAGAGCAGGTGGGTGCATGGCAGAGCTACACAGTCATTGGAATTCCTAGAAGGAGAGCTGGCACCTGCCTGGCCTGGGCCTGCAGCCTCACTGGGTTCTTGCACCTCAGAAAGGCATTCACTGAGGCCATGCATCACCCCAGAAGTCCTGGTTGCATCTCCAGCTGGAGCCCAGGCCCCTGGCAGGGTCAAAGCCCAGGAGTCAGTGTGTGGGAGCAGGAAAGCTTTGCTGGGTGGGGGTGTCAGTGAATAAACACAGAAATGAGCCCAAGCATGTGGGTGACCTGAGCCACCAGATGAGAATCACAGAGCCCTCATGTAAACCTGCCCTGCGATGGCAGGCAAAACTGAGGGCTCTGTGCTGAAGCATTAATAGCATCTTTATGTCTCTGGTAATGTATTGCATTGATTTTCTCATGGTATAACTGCGGTTCCTGCATTGCAGGCCAGTGTTTTGTCACTTTAACTTGACAGGACGCAGAGGATTTACTCCCTGCCGTGGCACACAGCTCTGGAGCCGTGTCTCACGCTGGTGCTGGGGCCTGTGCTCGGCAGCCTCTGTGTGAGGAGCCGACACAATGAGCATGGGGTCAGATGGGCCCTGTATCCCCAAGGAAGATGAGGAGGGGCCAAGTGGGGCGCTGGAGAGGGAGGGTAGCTCTGAACCAGGTGTCTCTGCTGCTGCCCAGGAGGTTTATTAGCCTGAAGAAAACGTAGCTCCTGCACATTTTATTGTCGAGCTGACATTTTGTCGTGGACCCAGCTCTGGCCTCTGTGATGGCTGGGACGGGGAGGTGGCAGTGCCTTGGGGTGCCCAACAGTGCCAACAGTACAAGACAAGCCAGGCCCCCACCCTGAGCCCACTGAAGTGGGGACACCAGTCCTCCCAGTATCCCATAAATCTCTCATCTCATTTTTCTGCAGGGAAGGTTTTATCTTTCTGCTTTATGAAACATGTTTTAATTTAAATTGACATTTCTGTATTTTAACTGCTTGTCCCAGGCTCCCAGGTGGCTCAGCTGGCACCCCGGGGGCCATGGGGGATGAAGTGCTGTGGGCTGAGATGGCTGGATGGCACCATCCCACTGACACTTGTTACCCTACCCCCTCTGGACACCCCCAGATCTGCCCCATTCCCCCCCTGCATCCTGTGACTATGAAAGAATCCAGGGCTCAGGCTGGGAGGAGGCATCCCAGGCATCTCTTCTGCCCCAAAGCTTTCTTCTCTTCTCTAAAACACCCCAATATTTTCAGCCATGTTTGGAATTTGGCTTTTATAGTGACTAAATTCTAGCCTCTTTATGTGTAGAAAAGGGCTGGGAAAAATAATCCACATATGACCCAGCATCTTGCGGAGGCAGCTGCAGGAGTTTTGCTTGTATTAAATATCATGATTTTCCACCAAAGACAGTCTTCCTTAAACCTACGCCCTCAGGATGCAAAAGGGACAAGAGATGAAAAGCCTCTCCACAGGATCCAGCACCAACCCAGCCCCACCTCCCCACCTGTGTTCCCAAGACCAGCGTATCCCCATGACAGCGATGCCCTGAGCCCCATCAGCCCTGCTGGGGTGTCCCTGCCAGCTCCCCAGTGTTGGGGCAGGCTTTGCTGAGTGATGTGACCTGGCTGGCTGCATGTGCACCCCCAGCTCTTCTCCTTACCCAGAATCCCACCTGAATTTCTTGGACCTCCTTGTTTCCGTGGCCATAGGCACCAGTGGTGGTTTGACTCAAGGACATGGCACCAAAGAGAGGTGGCAGCCCCAGTGCCCGCTGGGGACTCCTTGGTGGGATTGTCACTCTGTCAGGTCCTCCTCTGTTTACCCTGGTCAGTGCATACTGTACAGAGTTAATTCATTAATTAGCATCTTTCTGCTGCTGAGCCACCTGTTTTCTGCCATTGAAGTCTGCTGTGCCCTTCAGCCCCCTTTGCTGCTCAGTCCACTTCCACCTCTTAAAATGAATAAGCCACCTTCTGCTGCTAATGATGGAGTGCAGCAGGACTGTGCCACAGCTGGGACCTGCCCTGGTCCTGTGGAGTCCTCCCCTCCTGGACCCCCTTTCTCCTCCGCCTCTTCCTCTTCTTCATCTTTGCCGCTTTCTATTTCTTCTTCCTCCTCTGCTCCTTACCCTCCATCCCTCCACCCCCTCCATATTTCATCTCCTCCATTCCCCTGTCCCCATATCCCCCCTGTCCTTCTGTCCCCTCCATTTTTCTGGTTACAGGCACTGCACAGCACATGGGAGATGCAGGCAAAGATGGCAGTCTCTCCCAAAGCTGTGACAAAGATTCCTGCAGGATGCCTTAATGAGCATGTTGTCCAGTTCAGGCTTCATTTTCTTGCAGCCTCCAAAAGCACATGGATATAGGAAAACCTATATACCAAGTTATGGGAAACAAAACCCTAACCTTTTCCAGCTTATGTCTATTCTTCATCAAGAAGGATTGAACTGGGTGCAAACATGATATAAATCCCAGCAGAGCCAAGTTAAGGTCTGAGCACCCCAGCATCCCTGCAGCTCCCAGTAAGAGTGGGCTCTCCATCAGCTGGCCAGGATTTTCTTGTTATTCCAAGATTTCATAGGAAATTAATGAGGAGGCCAAATTCTCCTCCAGCTCTTGGAAGAGGCCAGGGCGGGCGGTGCCTGGGCCTGCTGAGCTGGCAGATGTTGTTTAACATTCCCGGCAGTAATTAATAGATGGTTTCATCACTCTTGTACAATTCAAGCATGTCGTCCTGCTTCTCTACAAATACAGAGCAGAAATATTTGTTAAACGTGGCTGGTATTTTCGCCTCATCATTAGTGCTTGAGTGGCTTCAGCCACACCAGGATTTATCGCTGTGCCAAAATTTCTTTTTTCTTCATGATGCTGCCACCATCCCTCCCTCCACTGCTGGCCCCTCCTGTCAAGAGGCTCTCTTTATCACTTTTCCTCTGATTGATGTCCTGCTGGTTGCACCCTCTCCTTTACATCATGATTATGCATTCTTCCCTTTTCCATTCATTACATAGCAGGAGGCCAAACCATCTCCCTGACCAGGGGCACCCTGTGGAATTCAACGCAGAAAGGGCCTGCAGGGATCATTCCCACTACCCAGCACCCATGGTGGGATGCAGGGGAAGGGCTCCCCTGGGGGTGCTTCACCCGACAGTGTCCAGGTGGGCTCGTGAGGCCGCCCCAAGCAATGACATATACAGGGACACAGGCTGGGTTGGGCTGGGCATGGTGACATCAAGCTGTGGCTTGGGTGCAGGGTAGAGCTGCCTTGAGGGAGGTAGCAGCCCATTAGCCAGCATTGCTGGCACCTCAGGGAATCACTGCGGATACAAATTAATCGGAACCTCCCAGCTCATCATTAGTTATTAATAGTATGTAATAGTTAATAGCTATTAGCTATTAATAGGAGCCTGTCAGCTTGCCAGTAGTTCATTCACAAACAAAAGCAAGCGGGTTCCCCCAGGAGTCCCCTAGCATTGGCATGGCACAGTGTCAGTCCTCATGCCCAGAGTGAGGACACAGTGGGGACACAGTAAACAGGCACTCAGCAGGGCTCCAGTGATAAGCTGACAAGGGAAAGCAGCGCTCAGGAAAGGAAGGGGATGCTCTCGCTGCGTGCCTGGCTGAGCCAAGGTTGACCAGGGTCTGAGTTCAGCCCTTCCAT